ACATCAATCCAGTTGCTACGAGCACTCGCGAGATGGGTCCAGGATCACGGCGCGATACTCTGGACGACCATTTCGGTGATTTTAATTGGAAGAAGGTCACAAATATGGGTAAGTATCGTTCAATACGTCTTTGTTAACTACATCTGACTCGTATTTAGGTGTCAGTCTATCACGAAAGCTCAAAGCCGCTGTTCCTGAACGCGACCAGCATGTACGCGATTTTGAAGACTTCGACAACACACTCCAACACGAGAGACCCGAACAGGTGGCGGAATGGAGGCTGGCGGTGGAACGATGGGAATTGGATTCGTTGCAAGAGATCTGTTCGCACTTACAGGCAAACGTACGTTACTAGATTGTCGGAGGAATGTGAAATACTCACTATCATCTAGCACTAACGCAAGCAGCTGTACGACTCAGTCTCTCTCAGCAAGAAGCTGACAACCTCGAGCATGGTATGGATGACTCACTGCATGAGGAAGTCTCGCGCAGCGTGTTTAATCTCCTCTGGAATGGAGATCGAGGATCAGCAGTAAGTCTTTCAATTGTTGAAGTTTCGTTTATATACTGAGGCTATTTTTGCAGGTGCGGCTTGCAAGAGATATCGAGCTTCTGGGAGGGCACCCAACTGACTTACAGCGCACGAAGCTTCAAGAACGGAGCAACATTTTACGACGCAAAATAGAACAATGGAGCAAGGTCCAACTTTTGTACATGCCGGTCGTTGCTCGCCTTCGCGCATCGGATATGCCAACAAGCAGGACCCATTCCACTGAAGAGAAGGCCCACGAGATCGAACTGTGGCTTCCCTCCGAGATCTACGGAGATGCAACAGACCCAGTGCATCAATGTGATGCCACGCTGTGCCAGTATGAGTGGGAGCTTCGCAGGGCCCAGGCATATGATGCGCTGGATGAGCTCCGACGTCACCTGCGCCTACGCGCACATCTCTACAAATTTAAAGATGCCCATATTCGTGGCCAGCGAGCTAACACACGCACGTCAGCTATCATTGACAAAGTTGAGTCAAATGTGTCCATCGCTGCTGCAAGATATCGCAGAGCATGGTCTGCACTCGAACATCTCTCCCCTGCTCTGTCTCGCACTACATGGAAGGAGGAGTTCTCAAAACTGGAGAATGACGACATCCGTGGGATGTCACAAGGCAAGCCAGGCCAATCGTCTGGCAACCGTACATTGTCCTGGATATGGAAGGCACGCGGCATAGCTAGTGACGCTCCTGAAGGGGAGATGGTGCTCAACGAATGTAGGTTATGTTTTCTTTTATTATTTTGCAATTGCTGATACCTAATTATTACTAGCATTAAGAATTGAATGGTGCAAGTCTCGTGCACGAGCTACGCGTTGGGTCGAGGAGGTGCAACTTCTTCGAGAGGAGATGAGGCGTGTCGCGGCATACCTTTTGTGGCATGCTGCATGGTGGGATGCGCAAGCAGATCGTCGCACAGGGCTCGCGCTTGCAGAGGTTGAAGGTATCAGAGGATATGCAAAGCGTCAGGCAGCTGTGCGGCGGGATCTCCATGATACATTCCTCTCAAAGTGGGGTGCCGTGAATGGCATTTTTTAATTTACACAGTGATCTATTTACAATGTTCGATCTATTTACAATGTTCTGAGAGATCACAAGAGAGATCCCGATCTTTAGAAACACAGATGCATCGTGCCTGGTATCATTAGCCTGGATGTGCTGTTGAGGACATTAAGCATCATGAACCTTCACGTCTGTAGCTCAGAAACAAACTTACAAAAGGTATTGTGCATAATGAGACACGGTTAAGTATCACCCTGCCATGAACAGGTGGGTCACGTCGTTGTGGGCCTTGTGGCATAAAGCAGGTCAAGAGCAGGATGTTGATGAAAAAAATGATGATATAGTGTTGCTGCATTTTTTATGGCCGCTAGAGCATAGTAGGATGTTGTATCTTGTTGCGCGAGTGCAAAGTCCTGTGAAATTGGGTGTTTGTTTCGGCATTCACGTATAAAGAGTCTGAAATTTGCTAAAGTTCAACCAACCTTGACTTTCTCCCCAACACCGTTGCGTCACTCCGTTTTTCCATCCCTGATGCCTGTCACCACTCGCCCATCAAACGCTAACACGCACCCTGGTCAAATTGTTCGCGATGCAAGTCGAAAACAACGTACTAAAGCTGAGAAGGCTGCTGATGACAAACGGCTCCGTGAAGAACAGGAAGAAAAGGCAGCAGCCGCTGTACAAGGCATAGAGCGCCTTGCCAAGATTCAAGCCTCCATGGAGGAGTCACAGGCAAGTATGACTAACAAGAAGCCGAAGGCAGTTAGGCCGCGTGCTGTCAAGAAGCCAGTGGCGGCTTCTCTGAAGGAAGCCGGACGAGCGCTAGGTGATAAGCAGGATGAAGACAGGTTGGGACAGGAGGGACTTACAATGGAGATTGACGGAGATTATCGAAGCATCAAAGATGTGAAGGTCGCTTCCAAGCGATCACTCAAGGGTGCTGTTGATGCGGCACATTTAAAGCTGAGAAGGGAAAATCAGTTTATGCCACGTGTTAGAGATGAGAAAGAATCGTTTTCATCACCGTCAGTTCTTCCACTTACCTGCGGTCATGTTACTGCTTTCTGAATCAACACTTTTTTTTCTTAATTTGACCTCGGAATTTAGGTCCATAAAATCAACAGTCGCTGGACGAGTCAACGCTTGGTCTTCAAATGTTACAGCAGATCCGCAACGCACCCAATCAAACTCCAGCTCTCAACCAGCTTCTGCCCCTCCTTCGACCATATTTTCCAAGTCTACCGCAACAACAGCTTCCCAAGCAACTACCGTGAAATCGCAGGTCGTCCATGGAAAATCAACCATGGATGACCTTGAAGACGCGCTGGTTGGTGGATTTGATGATGTGGAGGTTGATGAGTCGCTGGAGCGTGAGGCTGCATTTCAGTCAATGAGAAGGGGAAGGATGCCGGTTAAGGTGTGTCATCCTGCTTTTTTTCGAGATCATACATTCATTTTACGCACGGGTAGTCAATCATTCAGATGACTGATAGTAGTATCGAGGATATTCCACCACCTCCAACACAGCCAAGAAAGCCAACTCGCCTCACCACCCCCATCAACAGCAATGTATTGCGGAGGCTTGCGAGGGAGGATGCTGATGTTATGTTCGCAGATGCTGACACAGAGGACTCGGACTCGTCAGACGTGGTCGATATAACCGACGACATTGATGTGGTTGATGTGGATGACTCTGTCAGTATAATCGAATGGCCTGCTATCAAACAGGAAGCAGAAGATGTGCGTATGGAAGATTCAAGGTCAGGTGTAAAGAAGAAGGGATCTCGGACAACATCTTCGGTATTGTTTTATTAACTTACTGTGTAGCCGCCAGTTTGCTGATATTTTCGTGTAGACCTTTGTCACAACTACTGACATTAAGGTACCTCCTTCAAAGAAGATCAAGACCGAGCAAGTGGACTCACTCGACACTCCTTCAACTGACGATCACCCTTGGGTCGAACGATGCAAGGCTCGGTCAGCGTACCGCAACACTGATCTACCTCCTCCTTGTCAGGACTTGCGCTGGTCAAAGACGTTCCTTCCCACCATATTCCTATGGGCAGGGGGCCAGCCAAACCTTTGGAGCATTGACGACGAATCCCTCATAGTTGCTATTCGAGCTACTTTCAAAGTTGTCTATCCCGAGGTTGAATACACGCCCACAATTCAAGGATCTGTTTTTGGAGTTGTAAGAGCCCTTTGATTGCCGCTTTCACCCTGCTTAGTCTGTTCATATTGTAGACCAATCAGCGTCTCTTGGAATGGCGTAGCAACTTTGGCTCCACCGCTATCGCCATCGTGATTGATTTTTTGGCCCGAAATGAAGACGACGAGGATCTGGACTTGGAGGGACTTGCCAAGTATCTCCTCGCCAAGTATGCTTTCCTTTACGCGGATACAGAAACACTGGATAAGGCAACAATCTATCGCTCCCCCTTCATGCTTCAACTTGTCGGTACCTGCTCATCTTCAGGCCACCATTGGTCATGTGGATGTTCCAGAACTCAAGACCGGCGCTCTTGTTGAAAAGGGCATCATTGGTGTTGTCTCAATCTGCGCGGCAGCGGTATGTAGGGTTTTTTCTTTCTGATTTGTCTGACGCTGTGTCATGCCTACAGTTAGAACGTGCACTCACTCTCATCAGCAATAATGATATAAATGTTGAAGATGTGCTTGCAGCAGGACCTGCACAGCGCAGGTCAATGGTGAGGGCACCCAAGGTCTTGAATAAGGCAACCGGGAAGGAGACTTGGACGATTCACGCCTTCTCTGTCAGCAACTGGGGCTCTCAAACTCTTGCATTCTCGAAGTCGGTGCAGGCCAAGGGAGACGAGGCAATCAAGACTATTTCCTCGATGGCTTGGAAGGTCCTCAAGAAGTCGAAATCTCAGGCTGGGCTTGAGAGTTTCCTCGATGACGATGAATCCATCGAAAATGACCCTCGCGCCTTTCTCTGGTAAGTTTGCATCATGAGCCGTCCTCCAACTCGTCAACTCATATTCCCTTCAATAGAGATACCTTTTTGTCATCTTCGTGCTCTGTTGTCTGGCTTACTGTTCTTGCATTATACCAGCTTTCGCATCAGTTTTCTCCCCTTTCCATCACTTTTAATGACTTTTGCATTCCGCTCGCATGTTGCATGACTCGTACTTTGTTCAACTTAATCTTCCTTCCACTACGCATTTTTACACACTTTTACTACTTTTATAGACGGCGCGGTGCTTTCTAAGAGGCCAATTTCATTCCTGTCAAGTTGCGAACAATAAGAAAAAAGTCAAGAAACAGAGCGCGAGTGGCCTTTTTTCAACTTTCTGCCAGTTCTCTGAATTCCTACTTGGTTCCTCTTTTCACTCGAATAAGTTAACATTAAGGTACGCTAAGAGTCTCGGTGTTTTCCTGATGCGCTAGCCTGAGGTTGGTTGAGGGCCGGGAGGCTTCAACGTTGTCAAGATCTCAACTTGAACTCCTGGTCCGTCTGAAATGGTGGTACTTGGTCCCCTCGGCCTCAGTCATAGGGAGCAGGCTATACGACGAGGAATCACAGTTTTCCCCCTATCAAGATCTGACTAGCACAGTTGGAGGCACTGCCAGTGGTAGCGTTTGATCCCGCGGAAGCAATTTGCGTCCGAGCCATAACTTAAAGGCGCTCAGAGTCCCTTTAGTGCTTTGGCTGACGCGTTCTCAAACAATCAGAAACGCTTGGCGCTTTCAGGTGCACACCGAGTAAACAGTTTTCGTACCCCACAGTTCGAACGTTCAACATCAGTATGGCGTCTTCTTGCTCTTTCCACGGCATTGTTGGAATTCAGAATGCATGCTAGCGCTCTTGATATGGACGTCCAACGCGCTGTACTTGCGCATTTACACATGGTAGGGTACACGAGCCTCTCGTCACGACATTCGGACATTGTTGTCAACGACGAATGAGGCAAAAGATACACCACTAGATGTCATTTACTTGATACTTCGCCGTCAGGTCAATTAATAGCATTTAAGTGTTATGGCACATTTAGCAGGATTTTCGCACATCCCTGGGTGTAAATTAGCCAATTGCAAGACACGGCGAGGCGGCCCACCCACCCTCACAGCTCACCTTTTCCTCTTAGACTAAGTAAAACCCCACAGCGCCTCCCGAAAACTTTCTCCAAACTTCTCACTTAATCACACCCATGTACACACATGTAGCACATTTATTCAAGTTGGGCCAAATTGATTCCTCTTCGCACGAATGACACGTCAGTGTGAACCTCAAAGTAGTTTTCTCGACCTCAAGCTTCAAGGCCACTGGCAAGTCTGCAATCAGCACGGCGTTTTTCATAGTCTCGAGGTTGAAGGGCATGAGGATATTGAAGATAGCCGTTCCTTCAACTTCCTTGCAACATTTTCCGAGGCGCCTAGTCAATACAGCAGCAAATATGATATTGCCTCGAGGTTTGCGGCCAAAGGTATCACCTACCTGTTGCCTAAACGCTGAAGCGGGGACTCACCTTTCCTCTAACTACTTGTCGCACCCTACTTCGCTCAGACTGATCCTCAACATCAACTATTTCAAACGATGGATGAACACAAGTCAATCAAGGAACTCATGGCAAAATCCTCCCGAAAACCGCGCATCCAGTGAAGCAACCACTGGTAAAAGTTCGGTATGTCGCTGATGAGGACCATTTCTCTTTGAGTCATTTCACTCGAAACATAAATTCTGATACGTCCTTCATCCAGTGCAGACGCCGTGGCAAGATTCGTCGGTTTCTAGGGAAGGTTAAGAATGCAACTAAAAAGATTTGTGTGGATCCCGAGTTTCCTGGGGTGGGGGTCATGTGATCGTACAAAAGCACTCGAAAGATTCCTGCGGCCGCAAGTTGGTAACCCTGTTCTTCCGAACTTTAATTGTGAAGGTGCCTCATCGATTCCGGATATCAACTTGAAGGTCGGTCACCTTTGAGTTTCTGTTCTCTCTCTCTCTCTAAATTCTGGTGGTTGCGCGGATTCAGGATGCTCCTCCTGGTGCGGAACAAGGCGCCGATCCCAAATCGGCACTCCAGAACGCCAAAGAGGCTGTAAAACTCATGAAGCCACTTTCGGAACACCTGACATCTGGAGCATCTACCGTCCAAAATGCATCAGCAGATCTCGAGGCTGCATATAATTTCCAGGATACATATCTTCAACCCCTCAGGATATTGGTCAGCGTTATCGGAACGCTCGCAGATGTACAAACCATTCCTTTTGGTTGGAACCGAACTAATCCCGTAGGTACATCCATATGCGAAGATTGTACTGGGCGTGCTGTCTCGTGCATCAAAAGTACGTTTCGTCCCTCCCTCGTTCCTATCTCATGCTGAGCAGCCATCGGTGTAGATGGTCATCGCCCAATCGGATCGCGACCAAGCAGTACATCGTCTTGTCGACAAGTTTACGACTTCATGATACAAGAGGAGACGCTCGGCCAGATTTCATCGATGCACAGTATCCTTGGACAGATCTCTCAGCAGACTCTTGGATGCGCCCGCTTCGTCAGAGATTATGCAGAGACCAAGAGCTTCTGTAAGTCTTCAAGCTGTTGCACTTTCCACGTCTTCTACTATTGTAACAGGGAAGAGACTCGGGAAAGATATTCTCACTGAAACAAATAATGAAATTCAACGGTACGGTGACGTGTTGGATGCGCTCATGAAAAACTTCCGGGACCAAGTTGCTCGGGACGTAGCTATCTATGTCCACCGTGCAGGTAAGGGTTGTACTTGCTTCTGACGCAACAGCTATCCATTTCTCTTCAGGTGAATTACTGGACCTCAGTGGTATAACTTATGCAGCGAACGCAGGGCTAGATACCAGGAACAATGCCTTCCAGGGACGCGCACGGAGATCCTCTCCCAGATCACAGATTGGGTCAACAGCACTGGAGACGACGTTCCACGCGTACTGTGGCTATCTGGCCCTGTAGGCAAGGGCAAGTCAGCCATCGCCCACACAATTGCTAAGTGGTTCAGTCATGCGGGAGGGCTTGGTTCATGTTATTGCTTCGACCGAGACCGAGAAGCCGACCGTCGCCATGGGAAGATATTTTCTATCATTGCGCGCGACCTGGCTGACCGTGATTCGAGGGCGAGACGAGTGTTGGCGGATACAGTTCAGCATGCCAGTGCGCTAAAGACTATAGCTGACATCATCCAGCAATGGGAGAAACTTCTGATGGAACCACTACAGAAGCTCTCTGGGTCAACTGTGGGCCCTGTCGTGATTGTGATTGACGCACTGGACGAGATTGGCACGGCCAAGACACGATACGACCTTCTTCGCATCCTTTCTGGTAAACTTCAGAACTCGGCTGTTTCCCAGATCACGGAGCTCCCAAAGAATTTCCGGTTTATCGTTACCTCTCGCCCGCTTCGCGACATTCAGAATGCGTTTGCGAGCACTCGACACATTCGAAGGATTTCCATGGACGACATTCCACCAGAAGTCGCGGAACGCCATATTTACGCTTACGTGTCGAAGAAGCTGGAAGGGCTTTCGCATTTTGGGAGCAAAGAGTTCTACGGCCCTCGCCAAGAAAGCTGATGGTCTTTTCGAGTGGGCACGTCTTGCTTGCGAATCCATCGAAGAACCCCCTGCTGGCTTATCTTCCAATCAGTCTTTCAATGTTATGGTGTGCCGCGATCCTGTCGAACGGGAGCACTTGTTGTACGATATGTATGACTTCGTTCTGACGAAGATCACGCGAAAGGATAGACATACAAACCCCGAGTTTCAGCAAACACGGCTGGCGACGTTTCGTTCTGTGATGGGACAAATCCTTGGCACGGTTGAACCCCTCTCCTTGAACTCCCTGAATGCCATGCGGAGCCATTTCCTAGATGAAAGCGAGTGTTGCAAAGTGAAGGTCATAGTAGAACACATGCGATCCCTCAGCGGTACCACCAACTCATCCAAGTCTACCCCAATATTCCGACCACTTCATGCATCCTTCCGCGATTTCCTGACGGACCAATCACACAGTAGAAACTTTTTCATTGACTTGTCAAAAGTACAACACGACCTTGCTTTCGCATCACTTCAAGTGATGGAACATGAACTTTGCTTCAATATCTGCGATTTAAAATCATCTTATCTCCCCAACTCCGAAGATCCCGGGTCACGAGAACGAGTTGAAAAGTGCACCCCCCACATCTATCCTATGTCTGTCGATTTTGGCCTACACACGTACAAACCATTGACTTCGATCCAGAGCTCGCCAAAGAAATAAAATCATTCTTCGACCATGAGCAACTGTTCTTTTGGCTCGAGGTACTCTGCCTTGTCAATGTACTCGGCGGCGCAGTTCCCGCCCTTCCGCTTATTGCCAGGTGGTTGAAGGTGAGCACATGGTTATTGAGCGTCAGATAACATACTCACACGCAGTCGCAATTGTAGGTTCACACCGGATACGAAGATGCCTCGTCCGCTGCAATGGACGTGTAAAGATTTATTCAAGTCTTCGGCGGCATCATCTTGCACAGCACACCTCATCTCTATATATCAGCACTTCCATTCTTGCCCGTCAACTCTGTACTTTCCAGAACGTTTTCTGCACGGTTTCCTAACTTTCTTCGTCTGACATCTGGACGTGATGTCAACTGGACGGCTGTTCAAACAAACTGTGATCAGCGGGCACAACAGTGCGGTTAACTCAGTCTCGTTCTCGCCGGATGGGACTCGCATTGCGACTGGATCAGATGATTACACTGTACGACTGTGGGATGCGGCGAACTGGGCAGCCAATAGGTGAACCCTTGCTGGGGCACACTGACTCAGTTACCTCGGTCTCATTCAGTTGGTGAGCCTTGCAGGGGTACACTGATTGGGTCGAATCAGTCTCGTTCTCGCCGAATGGGACTCGCATTGTTTCTGGTGCAAGAGATATGACTGTCAGACTGGACCCAATCGTCAGCTCTTATTCTGGGTACCACCCGCGTCACGACATGCATTTGGATATAATCCTCGAACTGCATTAGTGATTGGGAGAGGGTGTGTTGAGCTTGATTTGAGTCGCATGGCACATGGGGACACGCTGGCAGCACTGCTATGCGGTGTGAGTCCGAGTGAACACTGGACATTCAGAAATTATACACAATATTATTGTAAATAGATTTGGGTAAAAATCTGGTTTCGTTGACCTAACGCCCCCCAACAAAACACCAAGTTTTCATTGGCTGACTATGCTGCTGATGTAACTCAGATAGTAAGTCGTGTGCTCCTCTCTACCGGTTCGGCAAAACTGGTTGTGCCCGGTCCTCGGCAGAACTCACGCGAAAGGGTAGAACTCCAGGATATCCAAGTTAATCTCCGTGTTGAATTTCAAAGGCGATAAGGAATCTAAACTTGGCTTAACTTACGATCGAATTTACACCAAGATGGCAACCTTCAAGAACACCCTCAGCGTCAATGAAAACGTGTTTGTGATGGTTGCAGGCGCCCAACCACAAGTGCTTATCTATGTGCGCTCAGACTCTTCCCAATTCCACTCAGCTTGTATTTTGCATCCAAATACCTATAGCTCTCACTCATGTCAAAAACATCTACTAGTACTGACGGGGCCCAGGACCATACCAATGAAAAGTCTGCCCTAGAACAGGGTGACCTAGGACCCCCGGACAATTCAGAGTAAGTGGCCGATTCCTGGCATCTGTTGCTCGTATAACGGCAAGATAGGGAGAATAAACATAGTGGGCCTTCAGCGGTGAAGCTACCATCAGGGATGTGAGTGGTTTTGCCCTGATGCTTCTGTGCAACTCTTCACCAGAACTGCAGCTCGAACACTGGGCCTTCCCAGTCATCAGAACCTCACGAACAGGAAAGCGATTTAGCACCGTAAGTCCCTATCAATAGCGTTTTTAAACAGGCTCATGAACTATCTCAGTCAGCCAAAGAAGATTGTGGCGGAGAAGGACCAGCCAAATCTCGGCGAATTGTGAGCGACAAATATACCGAGCGATTGCAGCTGACGACATTTTACACGCAGAGCAGATACCATAAAGAAAGTATTGGAAGTTCTCCAGAACTCCACGATTGTGCCTAAAGCTCAGAGTGGCAAGGACAATCGGTCTCGTTTCTGGGAGTTGTATGGACGAGTCGCAGAGGAACACGACAGCGACTCCCTCGAGCGATACTCCAAAGACATGGAGAGTATCTTGCTCTTCGTAGGTTTAGCGTGCTTATCTTCGATCCGTTTTGAGATTGATGTTCGATCAGTCTGGTCTTTTCTCCACTGTCAGCTCGTCTTTCATTGTCGCAATGGAGTCCAACCTCAGTCCCGACCCCAGCAACACCACGAATGCCCTTCTCACCCAACTCGTGTATATCGGACTCGGAAACCTCACTGCAGCGGGCTCTATGCCCGAAGACCCAGCATCTGCGTGGTCGCCGACTGCGTCAGTTGTGAGGATCCAAATGATCGCATACGCAAGCTTGTCCATGAGCTTGCTGGCAGCATTCGGGGCCGTACTAGGCAAGCAGTGGCTCGGCTACTACAAGTCCAAGAGATATGGTCGCGGCTCGCAGGAGGATCGAGGGAAGCACAGACAAGATATGTTCGACGGCCTCAACACTTGGTATTTTGATGCTGTCGTGCAGTCCTTTCCTGTCTTGCTTCAGATTTCGCTTCTTCTCTTTGAGATCGCCCTCAGCGCCCACATGTGGTACGAGCAGCCCAGCATCGCTTGGGTGATCATTGCCACAATGATCTCTGGATTTCTGTTCTATTCGCTGACAGCTATGGCATGTTCGATATCTTCTTCGTGTCCATTTCAGACGCCAATGTCGGCGCTTTTGCGCATGTTGCGCATCGACAGTAAGATTATTTCGTGATTTCACGTGGTCGTTTCCAGTCTGAATTAGCATTGCAGAAGTTTTGCGCCTGATCTTTGATCCAGCCTCCAGGTATTTCCATCAGCTCAAGACGTCAGCGCACGGTGAACTATATTTTATTACGTGTGCACTGGTTTTGACCGTTTCTTGTCAGCTGTGCTGCAACAAATGCTTGATACCCTCAGACCGAGGTGGACCCGATTGTCTAAAGCACTGAGAGGTGAGGTACTTATCTCCTCTTACACAAGATACCCAGTGCTCATTTCACTCCCCAGGCGCTGTGCATGCCACTAGCGCATTCACACGATGCTCTGTTAAGCTGTTATCTGCCGCGCTTCACAATGGATTACGTTTTTTGGTTCCGTGCTCTTCAACAAACAATGTAGATTCAGAGGCACAAGTGCTCAACCAGGCTGTGGATATTTTGATGGAGAAAAAATGCACCCTTACCCCGACCACCCGGACATGCCCACCAGTGATCTCGAAGCACGCAGCATCAAGTGGCTACTGGAGACATCTACGGATCCTGAAGTATTTCTCGCGGCTGCCTGCTTTATTCCGCAGGTCAAAAAGCCCCTAGATCTTGACGTCTCAATCATGCTGCATCACGTGTCTGATATTTTCACAAGCTGCGTCGGCTTTGATGGGCAAATTTTATCGTCATTGGAGGAGAAAGTCTCAGCGTGTGCAATGGCTCTAAGTCATCTGTACTACGAATGTGTTCTTCAGTCCCATCCTGGCCATAGTAATTTTTTTAGCCGGGAGAGACAAGATGATGGTGTGTTACCTGGTGCGTTGGACAGCGACATAGCCAATCGCGTGGTGGTTACCACAACTCTAAATTTTTGTTCTCCAGAAAGTGTATCCTTCCTTATTCCAGACACTGACTCCATTCCTGTCCTTAGGCAGCTGTTACATGTTCTTCCTTATCACTTTGTCACCGGGCGAGTGGAAGAATATGTAGAAAAATTTGCCATAGCAGTGATATCGAAACTGATATCCTCTCCGTCCTCTCCGTCCTCTCCGTCGAATCAAATCGTGGCCAACTGCATTTTTCTCGCTTGCGTCATGGCCGGGGTTCAGTTTGACAGGAACGACATAATTTGGATCAATAAAAGGTGCTCTTTACTCGTTTGCTACTCTTTCTGCTATGTTTAACAAAGATATTGTGTAGTACTGCTCTGCCTCAAGTCACACAGTCCCTTTTGACGCGGTTCCAAAGCATTCTCTGGGCGTGGGATGGAGATGATCTCGAGAAAGACATCACAGGAGTCACACGCCGGGCATGGAACCTCCTCGACATCATCTGTCGGATCCTTGAGCTTGCTCAAAGTCACTATGAACCTTCACCCGACACCATGCGAAACCTGGACGTGTGTAGGAATATTAATTTACGAGCGAGATCATCCAAACACAATCATCCCTGGGAAGGTCTGCAGAATGCACTGCACTTCACGCTCACCGCTGCCAAAGCGTCTCGGGACCCTGCCAACTTGTGGGATTACTCGAATTCAAGTTTCAAGATAGGCGATTCCCACTCGCCAAAAGACTTTGACTGGCTGGTGGACTACTACCTCGACATCTATTCTGACGACCAGGAGGTAGCATTTGACATCCTTTATCTACTCGGTGTCATGAAAGTGCGCTGCAGCCCTGCTAAACAACATCAATACATCAAGAGCCTCATCGCCTGCATGGGCAGCAACATGCCTGTCCATTTGCGTTATGCCGCTCTTCATGCTACTCACTTTGTCCGAGAAGAAATCGTCTCGATTGATGACATTGATGCGAAGCTGCGGGACACGGTTTTGACCAAGTTATCCCCCGCTATCCTGACTACGGTTTGTCCGCGACCAGGCAGCAACACTCGCTGATGATCCTCACCACTTCTTCCATGATGACCGTGACTTGTGCTATCTCGAACTGATCTTCACCCTCGCGAGGGATTCTAAGTGGCACCCCCATTTGTTTAGGGATCATCATATAGATCGGTACATTAGCATGGTCGGAAAGTACTGCGAATCATCCTCGCTGCATCCCTTTTACCTATCTGGCGTCCTCCTCCGAATCGCACCTGAACAGTTGTCGATTACGCCGTTCGATGCTATCACAGAGCAGCAGTGGAGGGATATGATGATAATGGCATGGTACCGTGCCGACTCTGGAATTGTAATTGACGACAAACACTGTTTCGAGTTCCTCCCCGTCCTTGTGGAAGGCACGAAGAGGCATATGCAGATCGCGTCGGAAGATGATCTCAGGAGGGTCGTTAACTATGTGGGTGATGTTCTTGACGCACGAGGTTCAGAGCAGGGAGAGGGAGAGAGTGTCGTCGTTGCTATGAAAGAGTTGAGGACTGTAGCCAGCGATATGCGTGAGAAGTTGGTCAGCAGTAAAGCCTTGGGTTATTAGTCCTTGATGATCACGTTACTCGCATGTTGTACTAGGGACCAGAGGACGGGATGGAGCAATACGAGTGCGGAAGGGATAAGTATTGTAATAAAAGAGTATCGATATTCAATATATGTGCATCATAGGAGGCTGTACTACATCCATGCAAGTCTTTACTTTTCATCCCATCCAAGACTAAGCATGATCTTGAGGATATAACCTCGGACATTTGTGATTTTGACTTGCACAGTATCTCGAGGAGAACCTCGGTGTTATCAATGTGTCGTTGAGTCCTGATTAGTCCAGGAAATACGTATGATTACGGCGAAGGTTGATTGGGTGGTTGGGGATATGAAGGCACCGTATGCACTGGCAGAGACCCCACTTCCGAAGAGCACCTGAACTGCGCTAGTGAATTGGATACAATCTCCATGATTGCACTTCAAGTGTACTTGTACGTACCTGCTATACGAGGAACCACAGTTTTCCCTCTATCAAGGTCTGACTAGCACAGTTGGAGGCACTGCCAGTGGTAGCGTTTGATCCCGCGGAAGCAATTCGCGTCCGAGCCATAAAGGCGCCCAGAGTCCCTTTACACTTTCCGGGCTGACCCGTTCTCGAACAATCCTCAATTGGCGCTTTCAGGTGCACACTGAGTAAATTTCGTACCCCACAGTTCAACGTTCAACGTTCAACATCAGTATGGCGTCTTCTTACTCTTTCCACGGCCGCCTTGTTGGAATTCAGAATGCATACTAACGCTCTTGATATGGACGCCCAACGCGCTGTACTTGCGCATTTACACATGGTAGGGTACACAAGCCTCTCGTCACGACATTCGGACGTTGTTGTCAACGACGAATGAGGCAAAAGATACACCACCAGATGTCGTTGACTTGATACTTCTCCGTCAGCAGGCGAGCGGTCAATTAATAGCATTCAAGTATTATGGCTGATTTAGCAGGGTTTTCGCACAGCCTTCATGGTTCTCTCCGGATAGGACTCGCCTCACAGCTGGTTCTGGAGATAAGACTGTCAGGCTGTGGGATGTAGGGATGGGGCAGTTAGTGGTTGAGCCTTTCCGCAGACACACGGATCGGGTTAACTCAGTGTCGTTCTCGCCGGATGGGACTCGCATCGTTTCTGGTTCGCACGATGAGACTGTCTGTTTCTGGTTCGAGCGTATCATAGGACTATCCGGCTGTGGGATGCAGCAACGGGGCACCTAATTGGTCAGCCCTTGCGGGGGCACGCTAGTGTGGTCTTCTCAGTCTCGCTCTCCTGGGATGGATCTCGCATCATTTCTCGTTCATACAATGGCACTGTCCGAGTCTGGTATGCAGTGATTGGGAAGTCATTGCTGGACCATGCCGAAGAAGACTGTCCAGCATCCTCCCCGCATGGCAGTTGCATCCCACATCCAACAGCGGCCATCCCCAGTGCCCACAACCCAACACTGAATGATGACTTCATTTACTTCTCATCAAAATCGACACATGCACTGTGCGACACTGCTGAACTACTCGCAGACACCGCCCATGATGACCGCAGGTCAACATTTAGGTTTCTGGGAGACGATGGATGAATGAAGGGACCCAATCGTCGGCTCTTATTCTGGATATCACCCGCGTCACGACACGCATTTTGATATAATCCTCGAACTGCATTGGTGATTGGGAGAGGGTGTGTTGAGCTTGATGTGAGTCGCATGGGACATGGGACACGCTGGCAGCACTGCTGCAAGGAGTGAGTTCCGGTGAACACTGGGCATTCTACGATATTTGTATATAGGTTTGGGTAAAAATTTGGTTTCGTTGACCTAAAGCCCACCAACAAAACACAAAGTTTGAATACTTTCAAACTCAGATAGTAGTCGTCGACGTCTGCTTGGAGTTCCTTTAGTGCTTTATAATCGTTTTGGCTGACGCGTTGTCGAACAATATTCTGTTCAGGAAAACAGTTGAAATTCGTGCCGTGCTCCTCTTTCACAGTTCGACGCGCTTGTCAATCGATCTACGACTCCGATCAGTGGAGAGACGAAATGTCGATCTAGTAATCAGCTCAGAGTGCTCTCCCTTTCCTCCCAATCTTCAGGACTGTCTCTGAGTCTCATTGTCTAGAACGTTGGAAGAGTAACGATAAGTAATATTATCGTTACTCTTCCAACGCTCTAGACAGTCTTCTTGAAGGGAGCAAGTGACTCGACCAAGTGCTTGTAAGCTTACAGGTAGTTACCTCGCTCATAATATCATTCTTGTTCACGTACCGTGGCATACTTTACTCATGCACTGTCATAGCCCGGTATGTGGTATGTAAGCATGCAGCTTGCCATTTGTCAACATGAACTCCTGATCAAATGCCGAAGGACTCGGTGATTCAGCGCAACTGGGATTACGGCGCTTTCAATAAACGAACGACCTGGCAAAAGATATATAAACTGATGACATTCAGGATGTAAAATCCAAAATTCAGTAACACAACACAGCATGTCTGAAGCACCTTTCAAGTCCTTTGCTATTGTCGGCGCAGGCCCTAACATCGGGATTCCTATCGTGAAGGTAAGCATTCATTACAATATCATCTTCGAGTGTCGTCCTTAGCCGGTTATATCTGTCAGGCATTCTTGGCTATTGGCGCTCCAATTCTCGTCATCGCACGACCGACCTCCACAAATACCTCTGCACTCCCTGACGATGATCCTAACCTGAAGGTTGTGCGCGCAGACTATACATCTGCATCTGAGATATCGGTAATCCTTCGTGAAAATAACATAGATGTCCTCATTTCTACTGTTACATTTATGTTTGGAGGCATGGTTGTCCAGGACGTTCTCGCGGACGCTGCAAAGGAGGCGGGTGTGAAGCTCTTTGTACCCAGCGAGTTCGGCCTATCACCGCCAGCAGTCGGTCTGACTCATGAAAAGCATGCCTTTGCAGGTAAATGATTACAGTCAATGGTGGCACTTTACGGTGTAGATTCATCCTCCGTTCACAGTGTATGCAAAATCCATTGGATTGCCCACTCTCCGTATCTATGTGAGTTTTTATTTGTTGCTCTTGCTCTATGATGCACTGAACGCGATACGTCCATTAGAATGGATTTTTCCATGACTTCTTGCCCTGGCTCACTGCACTCACTGAGACTGGCAAATTTCATATTGTGAGCAAAGGAGATATGCCAGGATCCTTCACTGCGATATCCGACGTTGCAGGATACGTGGCTCATATTCTTACCACTCAACCGCCATCCCGTCTACTTGATGTTGAAGTTCACATCGAAGGACAACGCGCAACGCTCTCAGAGATTGGTGCCCTATACAAAGGCAGTGTACCTGTGGTATACTGTGACGCCCTTCCTACAGAAGGTGTACTCGCTGCGGACTTTCGTACGAGATACCAGCAGGGCTTTGACGTCGGAAAAGCAAGTTGCGGCTGGAATCCCGATACAGAGACGGATGACGCGGAATTGGCGAGCAAGGACAATTCACTGTGGGAGGGGCACCGCTGGTTGACTATCGAGGAGGTTCTTGAGTTGTAATGATATGTACGTGCACGAGACTTTGTGGAACTAGGTACTCTTCAGGACTTACAGTAGGGGGCTGTTTAATTCTGAAGTAGGACTGATATTAAGTAGGAGCTTTCTGGGGTACGATAATGGCAGATGTTCTTATATCGTGCAGAAATGAAGGGAACGTTTGCTCGGATTCCTCATCGATCACGATGATCGTATCAGTGGATGTCGCCCCAAGTGTGTTCGATTTTGCATACCATCATTCCGGGTAATCTGCAACATGCATGTAATATGCAAAATGTTCAAAACACCTCAACACACTGCTCAACTCACTTCAAAAAAAATCAGGCATATGTAGATTACTTATATATGATGTACCGTCCAAGTAGAATGAAAATTTCTTGCGTGTTGCAGCTGCGAGAGATGAAATAGTGGTAATTTGTAACCATGCAGGAACATAAATCATCCAGATCCCATAGATCTTGTAGGTATATTCACGAAGTTATACCTGGAGCATAACAATCACCTCGTCGGGATTACAGAACACAATTTCGATCAAGGTCATCCTGTCATTTTAAGATGCTATAGAGGAAGAAAAGACGACATGTACGAAAACGTGACAGGGGAAAGGAGAGTGTGTAACAAATTCAATCTCCTCTACAGCACGCTCGGTTAATCCCCCCGTTCTCGAGACTCGCAGGCGGCATGTTGAAACCAACAATAACACTACTGAGTCAGTACCACAAGACATGCCGAGTCGTCAAAATTCAATGCACGCACCATTTGGCAGCTATCAACCGCAGCCATATTTATAGGCACCGAAAGTGTTGCCTGAGGTGAGCCTGCGAAAGCTCTCGTCAGGGGGCTACCGCTGCCCCGACTGCCTGTACTTCTAATTCTATGTAGGAAGCTCCATTTTAAGCCTGTCGAGTGGGAGTAAATAGTCCGTGCACGATATACCTTCCTAGCATGGTATAGGCAAAGCAATCTGCCGTTCGAAACTCATAATGACCCACCCGTGGAAAGGTTCAGCTGATGGTATATATTTATTCGCGGGCGCGAGATCTTGTGCTCAGAGCCATTTAGCCCCTGTGAGCAAATAAGGAATACGGCTGGATTGTTCTTTCCAATGAATCTCGGGCTTCTAGGTATCTATGTAGGCAACGACATCCAAAGTGCGGTCGGCTCTTCGAAGATATGCGGTATTTACAGTAGCAACTCAGGGAAATACAACATTAGCACCGTCTTGACCTTCGTTCGCCTGAGCAAATAGACAATGTCTCTTCGCGTTCTCACCCTCGGCAATGCTGTGTACAATTGACCGTCAGTAAGGCGATCCGTTTGAAGGTCGAGCACGGTTCATGCTAGCGTCAGACCTTGACAACTATTAGATGTAGTTGCATACGCGGGTCGCAAAGGAAACTTTCTTCGATTTACCGTCCACGATGAACGGCTTGGTTGGAAGGCAAAGTTGATGCGGGGGATGCAGTGGCTTTCAAAGGTATTAATGAGTTAAACTTCAACGAATCGACGATGCAGAGCAAGTACGCGCATCTGCGCGTTTCTGATCTCGTGCTTATATATTGTAGATACGCTCACTGCGTGCGCACGAAAAGCGTCTTGAAGTATGTGATCACACCCTCCTAAACGCAGTGTAGCAATCAGTCATTTTGACCTACTACCAGGGTAGCGGGAAAATACGCACTTTATCGTAGGTTTGCTTCAAGCTCGGACGCTCCAGTATTTGGTCGACGTATTTCGTGAATTTAGTGAATTTAGGTCCCTTTAGCTCCTCGCCCAGCTTAAACCCCAAACCGACAGGAAATCGGCCTAATTCCATGAATCAGGGTCAACTTCTTCGGAAAAGGTGCGAGTGCGGGTACTCTACCTATGTCAGTCTCGGTGATGATCTTGAGCCTTGTGAGGAGCGGAGAGATGCAGGCATCTGCAATGGTGTAATGATCTCCAACTGCGAAATCTCCACTCTCCTCGAGAAGTCCCTGAACAAATTCAATGCCCTTAAGGACACTTTCATATGACCCATCCCCTCGGACGAAGTCGTGAAGCGGGGCCTCGACGTGTTTAGTGCTCGCATCAATGAAGAAACGGACTTTGGCACGTGAAACAGGATCCTTCGGCAGGAGCCCAGAGTCTGGATAGAGGTCCGCTAAGAACTCAAGGATGACGTTTGATTCTGTGATTTTAGCGGACAAGGACGAAGGTTCCTCGGGGTCGACACTGGGTCCCCCGTATGTTACAGTGGGCACCTATGGGATATCACAATCGCAATAGTCTAACACAGGTCACCGTCACACATACCTTGCCAACGGGGTTCACTTTGCTAGTAAACCACTCTGGTTTGTTGACTAGGTCAACGTGGTACCCTCTGTAGGGTGCATTAGCTTCGATAAGAGCCAGTTCTACCTGTCGATTCGCGTCAGACACTCGTGAAATGGTGTCAGCAGTCATTTGACCTTTTGGCTAAAGGGCGAGAGCTGTAGAGTCATGGGTCAGGCAAGTCTTCCGATCTCCATCGTTCCTCACCTTGTGAAGGTATAGAGTCAGCTGTTCGGGCATGATGACGACGACGATGATGATTGAATAGGACTTTGGCTGACGAACTCCAAGGCGAAAGAATGCTCATATTTATGCATGAGACAAGTGACCTCGGTTTAGTATCGGCTTCGCAGAACTCTCGTCAATCAGTGGCCTGGCGAACGGACTTGGTCAGTTGCTGACTGACTCATCTGCCTGGTTCACGTTATATAGATCAATATTATAAACTTCAAATCAGCAGTCTTGCTTACCATTCATGTGAATAAGTCGCCTTGTCCGCGAGAAGCGGCTAGAACTTACTTTCGGGCGCTAGGCTGGTTGCAAAGATCTCAACTCCTGGTCCATCTGAAATGGTGGCACTTGGTCCCCTCGGCCTCAGTCATAGGGAGCAGGTTATACGAGGAACCACAATTTTGCCTCTATCAAGGTCTGACTAACACAGTTGGAGGCACTGCCACGTCGCAATATTGGTCTTCCTCAGGTCGATGTCTAGGTGCCATGGTTCAAAATAAAGCGCGAAAGCTCGCGACCGTAGCATCCCGTAGCATCATACACGCGAAGTGATAGGAACGATATCGTTCGAGTAGTCGTTGTTCCAGTAATGTACGTAAGGTTAGTCACGTGGTGGCGTTTGATCCCGCGGAAGCAATTCGCGTCCGAGCCATAAAGGCGCTCATAGGCACCGAAAAGTGGTGCCTGAGATGATTAGTAAGTTGAGGTGCCTGTGGCACCTCCTAAAGGAACGCTTTGTGCTCCTTTGCCTTCCTGTGTAATCCCAGTTGCGCTGAATCGCCGAGTCCTTCGGCATATGATTAGGTGCGTGCTTACGTACCACATGGGAGTTGTACCGTCTACGATGGCAACAGCGGTCCAAACGTTCAGCTGCGGATGAAGCTGCGTGCTTACGTACCACATGGGGTATGACAGTGCATGAGTAAGGTCTCATTTCCGCAGTGAATGTTTTTGGCTTCCTGGCCTTGGCTGCATCCCACTGTGCCTTCGGCAGCGCTTCGAAACGAACGACCTGGCAATATATAAGCTGATGACATTCAGGATGTAAAATCCAGAATTCAGTAACACGACACAACACAGCATGTCTGAAGCACCTTTCAAGTCCTTTGCTATTGTCGGCGCAGGCCCTAACATCGGGATTCCTATCGTGAAGGTAAGCATTCATTACAATATCATATTCGAGTGTCGTCCTTAGCCGGTATCTGTCAGGCATTCCTGGCGATTGGCGCTCCAATTCTCGTCATCACCCGACCAACCTCCACAAATACCTCTGCACTCCCCAAGGATGATCCCAACCTGAAGGTTGTGCGTGCAGACTATACATCTGCATCTGAGATCTCGGCAATCCTTCGTGAAAACAAAGTAGAAGTTCTCATTTCTACTGTTACATTTGTTTTCGGAGGCGTAGCTGCCCAGGACGTTCTCGCGGACGCTGCAAAGGAGGCGGGTGTGAAGCTCTTTGTACCCAGCGAGTTCGGCGTATCATCGCCAGGAGTTGGTCTGGCTCATGAAAAGCGTGCCTTTGCAGGTGAATGATTACAGCTAATGATAGCACTTCACAGTGTAGACTCACCCTACGTTCACAGTGTATGCAAAATCCATTGGATTGCCCACTCTCCGTATCTTTGTGAGTTTTTATTTGTTGGTCTTGCTGTATGATGCACTGAACGCGATACGTCCATTAGAATGGATTTTTCCATGACTTCTTGCCGTGGCTCACTGCAGTCACTGAGACTGGCAAGTTTCATATCGTGGGCAAAGGAGATATGCCGGGATCCTTCACTGCGCAATCCGACGTTGCAGGATACGTGGCTCATATTCTTACTACTCAACCACCATCCCGTCTACTTGATGTTGAAGTTCACATCGAAGGACAACGCGCAACGCTCTCGGAGATTGGTGCCCTATACAAGGGCAGTGTACCTGTGGTACACTGTGATGCCCTTCCTACAGAGGGTGTAGTCGCCGCGGACTTCGGTACGAAATTACAGCAGAGCTTTGACGTCGGAAATGCAAGTAGCGGCTGGAACCCCGACACAGAGACGGATGACGCGGAATTGGCGAGCAAGGACAATTCACTGTGGGAGGGGCACCGCTGGTTGACTATTGGGGAGGTTCTTGGGTTATAATGATATGTACGTGCACGAGACTTTGTGGAACTAGGTACTCTTTAAGATTTACAGTAGGGTGGGCTTTTTAATTGTGAAGTAGGACTAATATTAATTAGGAGCTTTATGGGGTACGATAATGGCAGATGTTCTTATATCGTGCAGAATTAAAGGGAACGTTTGCTCGGATTCCTTATCGATCAGAACGACGATGTCACCCTGACTGTGTTCGACTTTGCATAGCGAAATTTCCAGGCCCGAAATAAGATAATTATTTCTATATCGCAGGGCCACAATAGGATCAAGGTGTCTTGCAGCACATAGTAGTCGATCATGATGCATATTCATTGCTGCTCTCCTGGCTGCGGGTCTGTCTCGTCTAACAAATGCATATTAACTGGTAATTGGTGTAATGTACTTGTTGTCTACATAACAGGAATATCTGCATTTCGGTATACAGAAACGGAACCTAATATCAACCTAGCAATGGCAAGATTTAGGCAATCGTAGACTGTACGTCGATCTCGGTGGTTAGGACCGAGAGGCAGTGTTCGTAGTCCTGGACAGGGACAGAGAAAATGCCAGAGTCGATAGATTTGTGCAGGTTAAGCATCAGCCGAGAAATGAGAGTAACGGATATGCTAGGAGTATAGTCAAAACCCGATTCCTGTTTATCGCACCAACCACTCACCAGCTAGTGAATGTAGCCAGCCCCAGACTGCCTCGGACGGCCCCCTGGTAAACCATCAGCAAGTATTTAACCTACACACATGCAAGTTGTGTGCTCACTGATCCAAACTGGTTCAAGTTGTGAGCGCTCTGTAACTCCACTAGGATGTCGACTTACATAGTACATCACAATGTTCGGTACATTACAGAGTGTCATGGCACTGAAGGAATATTTGCCAATTAGATCCACTCGGATCACGAGTTCACCACCATCCTCACCCAAAATACATCGCACCTGCGTTCAGTTAATTCAATGTTTGCAATATGAATGTAACAAACAATTTACCATCATGAAACATGACATCAAGAAGATTTCTCCTGCTGACCAGACGCAACTGCAGCAAACCTCTACTTTTATAAGTCCTATGAACTGTGAGGACAAAGATGAGTAATTCGAAGGCAAGTATGGCTAGCCATGCTATTCCACAACCTGCGGATTGATAAAGTCATGACTTCAAGTTATATAACTTGGAATTCACTGACGGGCAGATCTGCAACGACTTTTGAGTAGACTCGCAGAACGGCGAGGATGATGACGTACTCCTCCGCTGTATATGTTTCGAAGCAGCCAACTCCGGTCGTCAAACTCCCTGCATACTGTCCAAAGGTTCCCGCCTAGTAGAAATTATTAGTAGACTCCAAATTGCAGAGTCCAAAACTCTATTGAACACGTACAGCTGAACCTCCCACAAGACCAATGAAAATCAATGTAATCCAAATAAGCAGGCGTTTACTACAATTGTAGAGAGCATAAGTGCGAATGATCAATATGACTGGAAATTTTCAGTTCATAAATTTCTACTAGCGAAAAAATTCGAACTCACCGCAAACGATCACTTGTTGAAAAAAAATAAACAGCTGTCTGTATAGCATATATTTCGCACAGCTATGAAATGTTTGTTGAACAAATGAACAAATGTTCAAGAGTCAGGAGTTCAAACCTCTGCGGAAATAAGTTGTGAGTCTGCCACGCACATGATCAAATGATCAAACCTGATCTGGAATGGGCATGAAAACAATAAATAAGCCATAGATGTTGCCGAGCAGTGCGAAATAGCGATTGACAAGAAATGTCATTGCAAACAGTGCTTTTGGACGACGCCAGATGAAAATGATTTCTTCAGTGAGGGTCGCCATATGGTCATACATCAGAATACCTAGAATATTGTGTTATCGTTCTGAGGACAGATAAAGAACACCAGTACTGTTTGCCACAAGGATGACGTTCGAGTGCGTGCGCACAGCCACTGCCCTGGTAAACTGTAAATGTCACGATCAAGATATGTACGTGGACCACTCACAACTGCTGACTTTCGGTAGCATCCATTACGACGAGACTATGCAACAAGGAAAGGGCGTAGATGATGTCCGGGGTAGTATCCGGCAATATATATCACTTTGCACACGCGCAGTTAGTTCGAAAGATCATAGATAGATCTTCCTCGGTCACATCGGCGAGTCACAAGCACATAGCTAGATGATTCATTAACTAGGCTGTTGCGCTCGAATGCGAGAAATCAAATACAACCATTCCATCGCTGGCACAGCGCTGGCGTGATGACACATCGATCAAGGTGTGATGAAATAGCCTGCGGGGCAGCGGGACGCTCGTCCTGAATTCCAGAAATACTAGTACATTCGCAAAACCTGCTCACCGAGATTGCCAACTCTGTTTGCCGTCTGCACTGTATTTTTACTGCCTGGCGGTCTTAAAAGAAGGAAACCGAAAAAATAGCCCTACTATATAGCAGTTTTTGTCGAGTCTTACTTGATTTATCCCAGTTTCAGTCATTCCGATGTGACTTTATTACTTCGAGCTGTCACACCTCGGTGCTAAAATTAGCGACTCGGCCAGAACCGAGTGCGACAATTTACAATTGTAATGTTTCGTGTTACGACCGAAGCGCCCTGCGCCCTTAGTGACCTGGCGCGGAGTCACGGAAAAGGTGGTGAGTATAACACGAACAACCCAAGGTGCCCCAAATCCTTTTTACAGGTCGGCTTTAGCCAATCGCCGTATCAGCATGACGATTTCTTCCATTTCAGGCAGCAGCTCTAGCTCTTGAATTTGCATCGATACCATTCAAAAGCTTGTCATAAGGTCCTTTCTATAGCAGGGAACGGAACCTCGGACTGTTTTTGCCGCTGTGGCTACAAAGAAGCGAACTCTATAATGCAGTAAGTACTGGGTCGCTCCAGACCAGGCCCAAGTTTAGAAACACGTACTCAAGGATGACAAGATGATAGCGATAGATCTTTCGGTTAATCCTCAGGCTGTTATTGGTGCACGTGTCATGACTATATTGCCATTGTGCTGATGATTAGCACACGCACACACTCGAGGTCTCTCGTGCACAAAGCGTACGTGAATCGTGGTGGCACCGGAGAGTCCATAATATGGCATCCCTGTAATCGAAGTGGGCGAACATCGTGACGCTGACAAAGTATTATATTTCGAGGACAGTATTGTGCAGGTAGATATGGGTCCATGTGTACTCGTCAGGGTTGTAAAATGATATGTCATCCATCGTAGTAAGTGATGATTGGCTGCCTCTGGAAATCAAAGTGGTGCACACGGTGATGATCGGATGCTTCGAGATGGCTTTCATAGATTATGGATTATGCGGTACGGCGATACATTTCATTTCCGATGTATCCAACTCCGATGGCGGCCGATCAACCAAGCTCTTCAACTGAGCAAAAAACTCGACTTTGGCAGGGAGCTATAAAAATGTTAAGCAAGTAAAGCTGTGAAAGTGACGTTGTAATCCTGACCTGATACTGCGTCACAAGGCCCGATGTGCTAGGAACCACGAATAATAATGTCTCGCTTATGTTCGCGGAGGTATCGCTGACAGGACCTGAATAGCATAGCTTGAATGGCTGTAATCCAATGTTCTTGGCCGGCGCCTGGGATGCTTTTGATCCAGAGGCAGTCGTCTGAGTCATCTGCAAAAGCGCCTTTTGGAGTATCTCCCAGTTAGATATACCGACGAGACAGAGAAATCTTGGCCGGTGGAGGGCAAGCTTGTTGAGCAGGATAGGTACAGACGAGACACGCTCTGAAGAGGACAGTTCTGCTGCCTGAGATTGGCACGTTAGCACGCAGTTGAAAGACGAGTACTGTGACAACCTCCGCGGATGGTCTGTCAACTAGATCCGTCTACCGATTGAAGCACTTCAGTTTAGGCGGTAAACAGAAGAAATATTTTAAGCTGACCAAACCAATGTTAAATATTTGTGGTAAGGAAGAATCCTCCGAGGGTGGTAGCAACCTAGGTGTAAACCCTAAGAAGTCTATGGTTGAGAGTTTCGTTCTTGGTCACCAATGAAGACGACATGCCAGATTGGTGAAGGCACTTCCAGAAGTGATTCGATGGGTGGGCAAAGTGGTGTCCTCTCTGGGCGGACATATAACCTGGACTGAGTATGACATTGATGTTACAGCGGCTCTGTCAGAAGCTTATATGATCCGAAAGATACTCAGCCCACTTAATTCCACAGAAAACGACTACACAGAAAAACCCTTAGACAAGATTGGAATGGTGAAGTTATTACACACCGTCGAGCCCGTAGGCTAGATAATCTGTGAGGGGTGATAGATGAGCATACGCTTCCGGTGGGGCATATCCTCGCTTGAGTTTTTTGACGGCATTCTTGGACAGACTTGCGTTAGGTGCCTTGCGCTTACCCTTTCCAGGTGATGTTGAAATCAAGGCATCAACTTCGCACTTGATTCCTGGCTTTCGAGATGTCGCGACCGCAGCGACTCTGGAGGAACGTCGCAAGGTTGGTAGCTCGGAACTATGGACCGTAGCGACTGCTGGACCGAGCTGTGGTTGACATGGGGTTGAGAATGTGAACTTGGTGACAGATTCCCTAAAATTCTCTGTAACGGACGCCTCTCCGTCGTTGCGGTCTTCCTCGAAAGACATCTGGAGTAATCCCTGGTTGAAGAGGAGCTAAGAGGAGCCCCCGTGAGAAAATTATACGCGAGGCGTAGATAGTCATTTAACATTTTGATTAGTGACTATACTCGTACTAGTATACGACTTCTCTTCGAGTTTGCAGGCGTAAAACAGAATCAACTTCGGAGGACCAATTGTTCCTTTGCAAGAACGCTTCCATGAACATGTAACAGCCCAGCGTCGTACATACGCATGATGCCAGATCCAGAAATGCACTCAGCAGCTGTCTGGACCTTGGACCAGCTGCTTCAGACTATAATGATCGCACAGCCGAGGTGTCTCAAAAGACTACTTCACCTGTCTCTATGTACGGAGTCCCTACGGACCGTCCCCCGCCAGGTGGGGTGCCAAGTATAGTACATCGCTATATGTGACACATCTTTGACAGTAAGTTCCAGAGACAACACCTCGAGGTCACGACCACTACCATGATTCATACCTTTGATCATAGGTTCGTGCACCCTCAGGCTTTGCAAGGCCGCTAGGCAAAGAGTCTAGCCCTGCCGATGATGTGCTGCTGGATAACAGCAAGATATCGATATGGTTTTTTTAAGTGTGGAGAGTCGATGGAATCTTGTGCGAGAAGATCTTCGGAAGTCAATGTTGCGCAGCAAGTGCTGCGCCGCGGACCGAGGTCCTGATACCTACAATATCTCATGCGGTAGGTCTTATACGGTAGGCAAGAAGTCTATGGAGAAAAGATTGTCGCTTCCAAAAGCAAAAGCACCACATGACAGCACAAGAAAATATTCGATCCGATTTGATTCGAATCAAGTAGTTGTCCTCCCATGACCCGGTTCACAAGTCGGCGATAACATAGAAGTTACTGAGAGTTGCCTCTTGAGGCTGCCACGAGGCGAACGTATTCGCCCCAGGTTCCATGCCGATGCTCGCTATTTGAAACGGAGCCTTTGTTACGTATTGAACCATATACGCCTAAAGTCGAACAAACAAAGGGACTTCTCCTTCAAGGTTTCACGCTTTGTTGTTTAGTTATCAGTTTCTTTCTTTTACTTGTACTTCATCATGCCTCCTCGTGCACCACAGACTCGTGAAGGCGGTGGAGGCGGCGGCGGCGGCAGAGGTGGTCGTGGCGGTGGTCGCGGCGGCCCTCGCGGTGGACCACCTCCTCGCGGCGGCCCAGCTAGAGGTGGAGCAGTTCAAGCTCCCACTGGTCCCGCCGCTCTGCCTGGAAGCCATGTTCAGGCCGTGGGGGTAAAACGACCTGGATATGGAACGGCAGGCAGAGCAGTGACTGTATATTCTAATTTCTTCAAGATTAGTCTCCCAGAAAGCGTTATCCATCACTACGACGGTTGGTAGTGGCTCTTTTAAAATCTCGTCCCTTTGTCTGATTTCATCCGATTTTCTTTTTTGCGATTCAGTGGGTAAGTACTGAAGTTAATGATACTTTGTGTGACTTACCGTTGATCATTGCGTCAATCTATGCGATCAGTTATCTCGCCTGATGAGAAGGCACTTCCGGCGCGTTTGAATATGGACTTGATCCATCACCTTCAGACTATCGATGCCGTCGATGTCTTTACACCTCGGGCCGTTTACGATGGGCGAAAGAACCTCTTCGCCCCCAGGGAACTACCTTTTGGTCCGCAAAATAGTCAAGAGGTGTGCTTATGTGATATGCTATTATACTCATCATTTACATCTATGTAGTTTGATGTTTGCCTCTCCGATGATCCTAATCGCGGAAGTCCGGGGGAGAACACGGGAGGTCGCGGTCCCAAGGTATACAAGATTAAACTGACGAAGGTTGCACAAATCAACCCTGAGTAGGCTATTTTACCTCTCTAAACGTTACGTTACTGGAATTCGTCTTCGTTAGGGTCCTGCAACGTTTTATACAAGGACAGCAATCACATGACAACAGTGTTTTAACCGCATTGACAGTAGGTATCTTTCTGAGGGACACTTCAATCGATCATTAACGTCGTGTATCCTGCAGGCATTGAATGTTGTCGTCCGTATGGAACCAACGATGAAGTACCCATTTAATGTTCGGTCTTTCTTCACCGATCGGGAGACTAAAGATATCGGCTCCGGCCTTGTGTTATGGCGCGGATACTTCCAGTCAGTGAGACCCGCGATCGGGCAGCTCCTCGTCAATGTCGATATCTCGACTGGAACGATGTATAAGTCTGGAGCACTGATGGATATCTGTCTCGAGTTCCTAGGTAGACCTGGGCAACACGCGTTGCTTAGCCCGCGAAGTGGCTTACCCGATCGTGAACGAATCCGTCTGCAACGTTTTATTTTTGGTATTCGGGTCAAAACGACATACGCCGGCGAAAACAAGACCCCTCGAGTCGTCAAGAAATTGAGCAGCGCAGGGGCTGCGGATTTAAGTTTCACCTTGCGGGATGGAACTAGTAGGACTGTGGCTCAGTACTTCCAGACCATTCTGAACCGTCCTTTGAGGTTCCCAAACAACCTTTGCATTGAGGTAAGTTGTTCGCAGTAGATCCCGAATCATCTCATCAGGTTTGTAGGTTGGCAGCGGTGCCTTGATCCCTCTAGAACTGTGTACGGTTCCACCAGGTCAAATAATGCGGAAGCAGGTTCCTCCTGAGAAAACCAAGGACGTTCTGGAATTCGCTACAAAGCGACCTGAGCACCGCCTGGCTAGTATCACGAATGGTCTTTCGGTATGACCTTCGTCCTTCACAGCGCGCTATGCTCAGCAGTCTCGTTAGGTCCTTCAATACGGCCAGTCGGAATACGTGCGCCAATTCGGCATGCACGTTGAAGATACTACTGGACCGCTTACAGTAACAGCGCGTGTCCTGCAACCGCCAAAATTGAAGTACGGCCCGGGCAGCGCGCAGCCTACCATTGTCAGTAATATAGTCTGTTTGCCTTGCTGTGTACTGATCTTTTCCTGTTCCCTAGACACCAAGTAACGGCGCGTGGAATATGTAAGTGTTGTTATACAATACATCTTCGTTGCTCATAGGTTTCCAGGATCGATAAGCGATTTTTCAGACCTGCATCTATTGACAGGTGGATCGTTGTAGTCTATGAGAGACAGCAGCGTTTCAACCCTCAGGCTGCACAAGACATGATCGACGGCATGCTAAGGAGTTTCAGAGACGTTGGTCAGTGGTTTATACGACAATATCTTGGGTTAAATTTTGACACATTCCAACAGGTATCCGTATCACCGACGATAAGCCGATCGTAACTTGGCAAAACGGCCAAGGCCGGATTGCGGAGGTAAGTGGTATTCTGCGAAGACCGTTTGAATCTGACTCGAACACCTACTTCAGCAACTGCGTGCCGCTGGCACTGAGTGTTTCCAGAGGACTAAACAGCGCCCACAGCTCATCGTTGTAGTTCTTCCCGAGAACGGCAATGATATTTACACTGCAGTTAAACAGTAAGTTCCTTGACATTCGTCTTGTATTAATGACTCATGGCCTTTTGTGTAGCTTTGGAGACATTACAGTAAGACTGCTTGATGGGCCCGCTACATGACCTCTGAAATTATGACTTTAGGTTGGTGTTGCGACCCAGTGCCTAAAGAGTCAGAAGTGCTTCCGCGCAAAACCTCAGTATTACGCGAACGTCTGCCTCAAGTGCGTAGTCATCCATCGAACACTAAATTTCGTTTTGATTTCTTGCTCGTAACAGGGTTAATGTCAAGCTAGGTGGCATCAACACTATTCCCGATCCCCAGTCGGTATCGGTTCTTACAGACCCTCGTAACCCTACCATCGTCATGGGTAAGCTTCATTGTTGCATTACCCTATCTTGGAGTCAAACGATCCACCAGGTGCCGACGTGATTCATCCTGCGCCTGGGTCTGATGGCCGTCCTTCATTCACTGCACTCGTTGGCAATGTAGACTCAGACACCGCCAAATACATCGCAACAAGTCGCGTTCAAGCCTCTCGTGTCGAGATCATCGAAGACCTTCAGGATATGACGAAGGTGAGTGGTTTTTCCTGTATGGATTTCTGGCACTAATTGCGCACCCTTAGCACGTCCTGAGTATGTACATGAAGTATCGCCAGTTCGCGGAGAAGAAGACGGGGAATCTTGCTCCTGCGCGTCTCATCTTTTACAGAGGTTCGTTGCGGAAGCCATTCATACCTTTCCATTTGCTGAGCATGCAACGTAGACGGTGTTTCGGAAGGACAGTTCAAGCAAGTTCTTGACTCCGAACTTAAGTCGATCAAAGGTACGTTCATGTTACTTGGGGGACAGTCGAAATCTGACAACCTATCCAGGGGCTTGCGCGGAGCTGAAGATCAACCCCAAGATCACCATTATCGTGGTCGCGAAGCGTCACCATGTTCGCTTCTTCCCCAGTGGCTCAGGACCTAGTGAACAGGATAAGAGCGGAAATTGCCTCGCAGGAACTGTAGTCGACCAGGTCGTTGCCCATCCCACGGAGTTCGACTGGTATCTGCAGAGCCATGGCGGTCTGCTCGGTACGAGTCGCCCCGCGCACTACAATGTTCTCTACGATGAGAACGAATTCAGGTGAACTCACCTCCATGTTCCTATGCAGTAGATTGTATGCTGACAACGGTTATGCATCTAGTGCCGATGGTCTGCAGTCTCTGTCTTTCGCTCTGTGCCATGTGTATGCTCGATCAACTCGGTCTGTTTCAATACCCGCTCCTGTATATTGTAAGTCTATGGCCGAGACGCTGGCTGCCAACGATGTGGCTGAACTACTCATCAGATGCCGATATCGTCTGCTCCCGCGCTAAGAACCACTACGACCCTCAAGGGAACGTTGATTTCTCTGATTCTGCCACCCAGCTCGACTCAGCCCAGGCTGAGGGCGCCTTGGAAGCTTACAAACGCGGATTCAAGCCTCTACATGCCAACATGGCAAGCTTGATGTATTTCTCTTGAACAATGTTACTCTACCCGCTTAATTACCTCAAAGCAAATGACTGTTAGTTTGCTCGTACAATCTTCGTTTTCGTCTCTCTTGCCGCGTTTAATCCCGTTCCGCTAGTCTCATGACATCACACCTCTCCTTGTAAAAAATACGTACATTGCACGAATACCATTGGCCACCCGCATTGCTTGACGTACTATGTTCGGACTGATACTACGAAATGTAATGCTGTGATATTCGTTGCAGACAGCATTGACCAGTTCGACGAAGACCGATCAGATCGATCAAGGTTCAAGTGCACTGGGTGAGCTCTAGATAAGTGTTTTCACGATACAGGGGGGCAGTGAGACGATGTAACACAACGGCCTGAGGCCGTGAGCTGTCATTGCACGCAACGAGAAGAAATGGTAAAAGGTTAGATCGAAGTGATTGGGAAAATCAAAGAGAGAATTCGAAAAAAAATATATCTATAATGTACTTTGATGGTGATATGGGCCGTAGAATTTAGTGAGGACACAAAGGAGTAAAGCTCCTCACTCAATTTCTGCACGTCAAGTCTTATACACGTGTCACCTCCCGAGTAGCCCGGAGCACAGGAAAGGAGTTGATCATTCCATCCGTGAGGCCGTGTACTTGTTCTACAGCCAAACCGGCGTCAGAGTCCTCCGCAACTTGCTCTCTGTGCGTATGGTCACAAGGTTAGGTGTCGTAATCTTGCGCCAACCAGCATATGGGTTATGAGGGTCAGGGCGAAGCAACACGCAGAGATGCTCCTGCTCTGGCTGGAGAATGCCATCTCCACTCGTATCGTAGCACCAGTAGTCCACGACTCCTGCAGTATAGCTGGAGTACGCATCGGTTTGGACGTCCTGGGTGCCAATCTTCTCGTGAACGGTCGCCTCCTGTTCTGACAAGTCAACAAGGAGTACTTTAATTTCCAACCCGCGCTTCGTCATGGCGATGTTCTGATCGCCGCGCCACACTGTGGATGGCAGAAGAGCGTCGTTGCTGTCTACTGAATTAAGGGGACAGTAACCTCGCGGCGAGTCTGGGAATGCAGCACTGTCGGATGAACTTGTTCCCGCCCAAGCGAAGATCTGCCATTCTTCGCACTTGCGAATGATAGCTTCCATCAGCCTGTAAAACGCCCGTTTTCCCTCTCCATATGCTACCATCATGCTCACATCAAAGATTCCGATGAGGGAGTAAGCTTCATCTTCGATACGTGTAGTTGTCCGAGTGGAAGCCCACATCATTTTCTCGTGGACGTTGCGTACGCCTGGCCGGAAATGACGTAGGTCATCGAGAGGTATCCTCGTGGCGCGCGAGAGCGCAGCTATGACCTCAAAATTTTCCTTGTCATTGAGGTCGCTGGTGAGCGGCTGCCAGTTCCCGACGTAAAACTTCATCCTCCATGGTGCGAGCAGCTCTTGCAGAGTCCACCCACGGGTGAACCATACATCTTCGTGGAGATCGTCGATCGAGGTGGTATCAGAGAGGTATGCGATGCATACATGGGCATCACGATACCACTTGAACATCGACCGGATGGCTTCTTCGAGTTCGGTGCTGCTGTCCTTGTTGATGCAGCACGTATCGGACCATGCTAATCGGCACCCGAACTCGCTTGCTTTCTCGCAAAATTTCACGAGTTTCTCATAACCGTACGGTTTAAAGGATTTTAAGATGTCGTAGAAGGTGGGTTCGCCGCTGTCCAGCCAACGGTGCGAGAGGACAGCAAATTTCACAGTATCCTTGACGATATCCCTGATCGCGTCCTGCCTCTCTGCTGTATGGCACGATTCCCTTAAAACGACAAGACGGCTGTGGATATCCTCCTCCGTGATCAAGGCGACGTCTTTGCGGAACATCCGCTTCACTTCATTGCGGCCGACAAGCCTTTTGTCTGGCACGTAAATGAGGTATGTAGGCAGTTCATTTTGCACATATGCATTGAATATGCCTATAACCTCGGGAATCGCAGATGTACTGGAAGAGCCCTGTCATGAACCATGAGTCAGGTGTGATAGAGTAAGAAGCAACACTAACCGGGAGATCTGGGCCACTCGTGTCGTTGGGATCTTTGGGTGGAAGCTTGACTCTAATGCCTTTGATGCCCAGTGTCGGCGGCTAGCAGAAGGTTAGATATATAACATCAGCCGATAAAACCTCGTACAGTTATCTGTCCGTGGGGGAAAATGTCGCGGACATCGTTGATGACCTCTCGCTTCAACTTGTGGAATTTTGCCTTTCAAGACACGTTTCTCCATAAGACAGCGTAATTTCCACTTTGACAACGTTACCCCTCACCTTGAGTGCCCTTTGGTCATCGTCCTCCAAGGTGATATCCATCACCTGGTGCACAAGGTCTTCCAGGAAGTTACCCATTTCAGTTGAACCGAGGCGAACAGTCTGGTGAAGATTCTAAGAAGGAAAGGGAATGATGGCCATGTCGACGAAGGAGGTTGAACTCCTTGTTATATGGTACAGGACGTCTGAGATCCTGCGCGTATAGCCCAAACCATGACCCTAAACCCGTAATGTGCCATGCTGCAGCATCGCCTGAGCATCGCGTTAAGTTTCGAAGTTTTGCTCATTGCGGTGAGCTTCGAATGGACCTTTGCTTGAAACTTTATCCAGAAACCTTAAGCTGCGTATTTAGGGACGGCGTATTGCGCAGATAACGCTGAGCAGTACGTATTAGTTTGGAATTGAGGTGCGTCTTTCAGTGATGGTCACATTGCAACGCACCTTAGTCACTGCCTCGTCGCCCTATGCGGTTATGCCCCAGATCTCCTATGGCTTTGGGCACGAACCCCCAAACGTGTCAAGACCAAGCTGGTCGTTTTGCGATCTGCACTGTGCATTGTATGGTAGTGATTACGAGACGGAAATGGAGAAAATGGTCCATTAAACTGAGCTCCGGTCCTTAACGTATGTCAAGTGTTCTGAGCAGGTACACCAGTCGGATTATTGCGCGATCTCCACCAGCACAAACAGCACAAACCCAATGTCTCTGTCGCGAACATAAGGTGAATAAAACAACGTTCCCGCAACATGTTTCGCAAGCCGTCAAGCGTCCTCTCGGACCAAGATGCAAGCTTAAGGCATCTAAAAATCACTGATATCATAACAACATAAGCCCCATCCACGGAACAATATAAGTATTCATACATGATAGATGTAGATGTAGATGTGCATACCAAAAAATAAAGCACGCTCTTGATTACACTCCCACTCATGATTGAGCTGCCTCCCGGCTAGCGAGGAACGCACCCTTGTCTCTCGTTTTCCCTCTTGCGCCCGAAAGCCCAACACTTGGAAATCCCCGTACATCCTCTCCCCCGATGGCGTGCTCTATGCGCTCATGGGGGACAGGGAATGCAGTAACAGCTGGAGACGCAGATATGGACGGAGCGGGAGTATAAGGTGCCGTGGACTGCGACGCTGTCGAAGACGAGAGAGGCGAAAAGCGTTTTGATGTGCGGTGTTTTGATTTTTTGGCAGGGTTGGGCAGCTGCATCTCGGTCTGTGGGTATGAGGGTGGGACAGCTTGTGCTAACTGGTGATGGTTGTAATGTATATTTGCATCCCCATTGGAGACTGAAGCAGACGTCCGAGAGCGAGAGTCTGAACCCGAACCACTCCAAACAGATTGGCGTTTCTTGCGGGTGTATAACTCCCCGCCGAGGTCAGCATCGTCAACGTCTTCGGAGCCTTCTCCTTCTCCTCCTATGGATGACAATTCTTCTTTCCCCCGTACAAACGGCCCAAATTCATCAGCTGGCAGCGAGGATATCGCAGATTCTCCACTACCCTGGAACCCCTCGAAACCACTGCCTTTTACAAGAGAACCACCATTTAGTGAGAGCAAAGCAGACATGCGCTCTCGCTCCCTGCGCTCCCTGCGCCGTGCCTTCCTCTCTACCTTCCGCTGTGCTTCCTCATCACGTCTGTGCTGCTCAGCTTCTGCGCGGTCTGGAGACGACAGGCGAGCAATAGTCGATGCATCTAGTGGTGCTGCATCCGAGTCGAGCGTGGATGATGATGCAGTGCCAAGTGCTCTCCTCCTCCATCGTTCGTCTTCATCGTCCGAAAGGTAAATCGGCGGGCGGCCGAATAACGTGTACCCGAAGAGTGTCAGCGAGAATGCAGGGCGCTTTCGAGGCTTTCTCCGGCCAGCACCGATGTTAGAGTGCAGGGAGAGCGTTTCTATTTCTGTGTCTGTGTCACGCAAGAGCCCCTCGAGCTCATTTGACGGCGACCTGTGGGTTCTGACATCGCTGCGGGAATTATCATTGGAGTTGACAGGCGCTATGCCACTGAAGCATGGCATACACGAGGCCAAAGCAGCTCGTATGCTGTCCTTGTAGGAGAAGTTGTCTACAGCCATCAGTGTGATCCAGAGAGTTACGGTGACAGTGTGAGGGTGTAATTTTCCAGTGCAAAGTATGTAGGTCAAGAAATAAGTTGCGCCGAGAGGTCGTGGTCACAGTCGTAACGAACTCCGGCCTGCCACAGGCCGCAAGAATGGCAGAGCAGCACAAACACGTGTAACGCGACCTATCGGCCTCGACTATTGATTCCGAACAGCAAGAAAACACCGCAGTTGCCAGCAAACTTCAAAGCAAGTTGAGTAGAAAAATACGACTATTCTTGTATAGTAAGTACTTCTCATTGAACTAAACTGTGATTACATTATACAAAGCGAGTGCGAACTTCAAACCATCCACGAGAAGAGAACAGACAAGAAACATCACTCCATACCAGCCGAATCAGGGTCGAGCAAGCTGTTACTTGGGGTTAGCTCTGAGAATGAAATGCTCTCGAAAAGCTCACCTATACTGTTTCATTAGAGAACACTCACCACCGTTCTCCAGATCGATGTTGTACGAGTAGAAGTAGCCCTCGGACGAGATGACCATGACCTGCGGTAGCGTTCTAAACCAAACATGAGACAACCAGGGTGGGAGTAAAGAAACACATTTAATCATACCCGCTGAGCGCAACAATGCATCTTGCTCCACTTGTTGGCAGTCGCAAGAACGCAAAGTCACGAGATGGTTCCCACATCTCGGTCAGTGTGTTAGGGAGATAGCCCCCAACTGAATGCGACAGACTCTTGGTCATCTGCAGCGACTTGCGACGAAGACTCAAGCTAGACAATATCAGGAAGAAATTTTAGACTGCGAAGAATACAATCAACATACGAAACACCGCTCTTCTTGCGTTCGTCAGCGAATGCTTCATACCCTCCATCCATCCCTACAGGCCCCTCCCTGCCATCAATGGACTCGGGCGGGCTGGACAGGCCATCAGTTCTTCTTACTGGACGAGGAAGACGGAGCTTTTTGAGGGCCAAGTTTGAAGATGTGCACCGTGTCATGTGCCGAGCTGACAGCAAGTAAAGATGATACCACATTGAAGTTGATCGAATATATCCGTGCCTCGCGGGTCCCCCGACGAAATTGGTACAATTTCTCTGCTCCAGGGATGCTCCAAACCCGGATGACAGTGCCTTTGTCGGATGCAGTCGCAAGCATAGTACCTGTCGAATTGATGGAAAGGAAAGAGATTGGCGATTTGTGCGCCTGGATTACATTAGCGACTGTCAATGAGCGTGTGGAGAACAGGAGAACGTCGCCAGATTGGTAACTGGAGGATGGAGCCTGTGACGTAGAGGCCTGACTAGGCGATTGAGTGGTGGGGGAAGGGACAGGGGAAGGATATGCAAGGTAGGAATTGTCAGCGGATGGTGAGAGGGCACATGTTGCTGGCACAGCTCAGCTGTAGATTGTTGGTGAGCGGTAGGTAGCGCGCTCACCTTCTGGGTTGGGTGTAGTCTCTATTATGTGTAGAAGACGCATGTTGGATATGTCATAAATGTATATTTCGACTTCCAACACAATGACAAGGGTTTTCCTGTTCAGTTTGACAGCAAGGATGGAGGACGGGAACAGCAGTTCGCAGATCATGGATTGTCGCTGTCAGTGTAAAGAAATGACATTCAGCTTTATATAGACAGTTTAAGGAATATGCACCTTTGTATTGACAATCTGTAGTTTTCGTGGGCTAGACTGAGGTTGATCAGCGGCACCGACTAGCGCAATGAGTGAAGTGCAGAAGAGCATTTCAACGATTCCACGTGCTCCGTCATCTAGACATAAGACGATCCTGCCACTTCAGTGTCCACGACACCCGTATAAAACATGTCAAAGACGCACTCATGGTGTAGACTCTCCCGAATGGGTCACAATTTGTTATGCTGTAACCCTTTCGAGTTCCAACGGATATGCATCTAAAACACGGTTCGAGAAAGCACTTCTTTATAAGTCTAAGACGCACGAGAAATCTTGGTTGAAGTTAGCGAAAAGCATATTGGCATTCGACTTCTCTGCCATGGTAGCGGGAAGAGGCGTAATGCGCTCTGGTGGCAGCTCTACTAGTAGTACTTGACTTGACATTTCAAACAACTACAAACATCCTGACCTAGTGTGACGAAATCATCCACTACATAGGCAACACAAGTCCTCAGCTAAAACTATTGCACTCTTTCGATATGGAGCAGATACTGTTGATCGACGGAACGGAAGAGCGCGATCTATCCAACCTTGAGCCTCAGTCATCCGAATACACATATACCGAACTGCGCGAGCTGGGTTTGCGAATCTACAAAGAAGTCTGGAAACAATTTTACGAATGGGAACCAAGGGAGTGCCGACAAATCATCCACGCTTTGGCTGGCCGACGTGTCTCTGGAGAAAGAGAAAAATATAATAAGATGATAGATCAGTTACTCGACCCCGGGGCGCTTCAGGATTCGGAGATGCGGATCGACTTGGAGAACCCGAACCAACCTTTGCTATTAGTGACCCAGTACGATGCCGAGGGTCGAGGCATATCATACCCATTAGAGATGGAGGAGATTCTTGTTGATCCTACTTTTGAGGCCCATCCTCCTTACGAGTCTTGTCCACCAATCAATCAGAGCATTCGGGGCTGGGGAGTGGACGACACAGCTGCATTCATTCCGTACGGCGATGAGGAGGGATTCCCCGTCATGGAATATCTAGACCAATTTCAGTCGTTCGCATGGGAAGAAGACTTTGATCCAGACTGTAAGCCACGATCAGTTGAACATGCTGAAACCGCCACTAGAGATTGCATCCCCAGCGGAAATGATCCAAATAGAAACTGCCCGCCGACTACACAACACTTTGAATATCTCGATAAAGAATATTGATCGGATGCGCATCCTCCCAAAATCGCTCCATGAATCGTACAACAAGGGTCTTCTATGGCAGAGATTTCAGCGGTCAGCTCACTTGATTCATGTCCTCTCGAGGATGCACTCATTATTTTATGCAGAGATTTCCTTCGCTGGCCTGGAGGAACTGAGGATGATATGGAGGGGGCCTGCTTCCAACCTGCAGTTGATGATCTCCATAAGAGGTTGACATCCGTTCTTGCGACATTTTGTCCAAACCTTAATTGTCTGCGAACTCTGTGCACGACCCATTGTAAGTTCTATTGTAATTTTTGAATCTATTTCATTCATGTGGTCTGCTAGTGCATCCTCAGTCCGGGTCGTTCGGAGGTGGTGGTAGGCCCAAGGTGACAAATCAGAGCATGCGACTCAGCGAAGGAGAGCCCTGTGGTGACGAATGTTACCGTCTAACAGACGATTCTTACACGGTAGCCATTGTCGTTGAGCACCCCACAACATTAATTCCTGATCCGTGTGGTCCTTAGGACAAAGTCTACTGGGAGAATGAATCCGATAAAGAAGCATTGAAAACAATCTTATCAATCTCACCCAATTTATTTCCTTGTCAGCTTGCGGATCTCTGCTTCAAGCCTTGCCGAGAAGTAAACACGTCCACATGTACCCTACGCTGTCAATCTCACTTCTCTCAAGGTCTTTGTTCAACGATGTGCCATGTTTTCTGACGACTTGACATATGATGATGACTCCGCAGACGACCCGGAAAGTCATACAAAGAACAACAGGACAAGGAGAAAGACACGAAAACGTCGTCTCATTTTTGGTACCCCAATAATGTTTCTGTTGGGTGACCTTGTGTTCTGACTCGCAATCAATTGCAGAAGAAGAAGAAAAACATGCGCCATTCGTCCCGTAAGTTCCCTTCTATGATCAAACAGATAGAGATCATAGGATACTTCATGACGCAGCCTCGAGCCTTGCAACCATAAGGGTCCCTGTGAAAAAGAGTGGTGCGAATGCTACCGTCGGAAACGACACTGCCAACTGGCTTGCCGATGTGGTATAAACTGTCCGTATGGTCATGACTCAATTCGTGATACGGGTCGGGCACTGAACAACTTCAGGTGATCGTCAGTATCGTGGTTGCGAGTGCAAACGCTGTCTTTTAACTTGCCCGTGTGTTAAACATGACCGAGAATGTTTGCCCGGGATATGTCATAAATGCGATGCAAGGTAGGGTACAGCATTTAAACATTCAGTGAGGTGGACTGAATTCCAATTTAGAGGTTAGACTATGTTATTAACACGTTTACGCGCGTGACTTAGTACAAGTGAACTTCGATCAGGCGCAACTGACAACCCATGCGTAAACACAAAGCTTCAGCGAAATGATACTATGGTAAGGACGCCCGTCGTCCACGAGTTATGCTCACCACTGGTCAGGCGGTCGAGATCAGGCAGGCTTATTACGGCCTAGGAGCTTTCGCGGCGCAAGACATGAAGCCTGACGATTTCATCGGAGGTGATGCCGCTTCTTGGGACATTGGAGTCTAACGGCTTATGTTTCTGCTTAGACTATGTCGGCAACATGATGACATTTGAGGATGTTGACGTTCTAAAGTACGCCTTCACATTATTGAACATCGACCGAAACGTCCTCACTTCATGCAGTCCTGTTGCCGAATATAGTGGTCGCAACTATTTTTTCGAATTCTCAAAGAAAAATGAGGAGGAGATGCTTGATGCTGCTCCAGTCGGAAATGCTACTCGTTTCCTGAATCACGAGACCCTGGAAGTGGCCAATTGTGAAGCACGAAGTGAGTCCCAACATGAAGCTATTGATACCCGTCAGCTGAATGATATGTCCTCAAGTTCTTCTCGTCAATGGGGAGCATCATATCGGATTTTACACCAGTAAGATTTCCAGATGGTGTACCGAATCGCTCTACTAATTGCATCATCTGAAGCCAAGGCAGTGGCTCGTGGAGAGGAACTTTTATTGTATTACGGTGACACTTACTGGCTAAACAAGAGAGTCCATTAGAACCATCAAGCGATTGATGGAGGGGGCGAGTATTGGCTCCACAGTATATAGAAGGATTATCGTCCAGGCATAAGATGTTCGTTTCACTTCAGTGCCCACAGCACAAGACATGACAAGGAGGCACTCAGTACTCATTACGTGACGTAGACTCTCAGGCTCGAATGGAACGGTAGTGTGTTCTGGCTACTCTAATTTACATTTCGATTTTCATAAATGCAGACATCATTGACATGCGCTCGAGGAGTCCACAACTTACATAAACTCTAGCAAAAATTCTTGCATTCTTTCGATATGGAACCGATTCTACTAGGTTGATCAATATCAATGGAATGAAAGAGGGTGATCTATCCAACCTTGAGCCTCAGTCATCCGAATACACATACACAGAACTACGCGAGTTGGGCTTGTGAATCTCCAAAAAATGTGGAAATAATTTTATGAATGGGAATCAAATTCAATCAAGGGAGTGCCAACAAATCATCCAGGCCGATTTCGCAAGGCCGCCGAGAAGTAAACAAGTTCAGCGTGACGTGTACCCTGCTACGCTGTCAATCTCATTTCTCAAGGTCTTCATTCAACGATCTCACATATTTCCTGATTATGTGGTATATGTACTATATGATGATGCCCTAGCAGACAACGAGGGAAGGTATACACGGAACAATACAACAGGGACAAAGTTCCTGTCGGTCTGACCACTGGCTATCGCGACGTTGCTAACCGGTGAGTAGTCACTGAAACGACAATTCACATAATTGCTTAAGAATTTATTCCACTGTACATCTGCTAAATTATCTCGAGTATCCTTCACAGAAGTACCTATTGGCTACGAGATTACGGAACGACACCAACGTTGTCTCTTCCCGGTGTAAATAGTATGTGGTTTGACCTCACATGATCTTTAATAGGGTGAGACGACCGCTGGTTAGCAATGCTTACTAGGAAGTGTCTTGTTGAATGAGCGCCAAGGCTTTGTCAGAGCGAGCTTTGATCGAGCATTTAAAGGGCTTGGGGTGGCTGCGAGTGTATATGTCCAGAGCACCGTCGTCATATTAAGATACGCGACATACCTGACCAACCCAGATGAGGGGTCAATTTCAGGGATTATTTCAACGCCATTCTCAACAACCTTTGAAACGTCAAACACCGCAAGTGACATCGCGGTGAATATCCAGATGGATGCATCAGCGAGATGCAGACCTGTACAGTCGCAAGCAACCAACATTAGAAAAGTGCCTTGTTGGTCAGCGCCCTCTGTCAATCGCGCATACCTGGGCAGATCCTGTGGAGCAGAACCTTAGCATTGCATTCAGAATATAACGGCGACTCAATCCTTACCGTCTACCAAAACCAAAGCACACCGTGCGAGGATCGGGCTCGGGCTCCTTTCCATCCTTGCCCAAAAAGCGCTCAGGATTGAATTCCGATGGGTTGGCATATGTTTTTGGATCATTGAGCATGAACCTGTCATAATTCAAAGCGTCAATATATCAGATACACAACAAAGAAAGTACTAACCACATGTTAGGGATTATCAAGGAGCCTTTTGGAATGTAATACCCATCGTGAATGTCGTCCTCGGTGGTGGAGTGATCAACTGACATTAGGCACTATTGGTCAACTAAAGGTTGCGATAAACGAGATATACATACTACTAGGTATGGCAACATTCCAGCGGAGGACCTCCTTGGCAAGCGCCTCGATGTAAGGGAGGGAGGGGCGATCGGAGAAGGAGGGAAGACGATCAGGGCCAACAACAGTATCAATTTCAGCTTGAGCCTTCTTCTGTACATCAGGGAAAAGTGTCATAGCCAGAAAAAATGAGTAGATCGCAGAAACAGTCTGAGAAAACATGCGTTAACCCCAAAATATGATAGTTTTAAACGAGCGAACCGTGTCGGCACCACCGCTTAGAGATACAGCAGACCACTTCACGATGTGATCCTCTTCCGCAGTCAAAGTATGGTCCTTCAACAGATCGGAGGAAAAAGACTTGGGGGCAGTGCCAGCAGCCTGTAAAGCCCAATCAATAGCGCGTGGCGGCACAGCTACAAATCTTGGTCACCATCTGATCTTTAACATACTTGTAGGATACAGCAGCCACCTCTTCGATGGTCTCACGGCACTCACGAGCTAGGCGTTTGAAGCCAGCACCAGGGAACCACTCCGGGAGCCTGGCCACTGGACAATAGTCAGGTTATTAAGCAAATATGTTGAGATGTTATGGCCTTACAGGATGGCAGGAAGTCAACAATAAAATCACCATAAAGACCGTACCGCGAGAATTGATCTAAAGCACGTTGTCCAATGTTAATGAGAGGATCGTTATCCTCCTTGACTTCATAACCATAACAGATGCGCAGACTGATAGCGGCAATAGTACTATAAAAATTCAAGATCAGGCCAATGGTACTACAAAACACATACAGTCGAATGTGGGTTTGCAGGCTGTCGGGTTTCGCGAGTGTACGCTCCAGGAATCGGCGAGTCTCGAATCTCCTCCATGGGGTGATAGACAACCAAGGCAGAGCGACTGCCAATGACGCGGTGACAATTCTTGCGGAACAAGCGAAAGCGTTCACCGTAACGGAGATAAGGTAGTGTTTGCTTATAACCCATAAGTTCGCCACTCATAGGAACAACCGGACGGTCAGAGTATATAGAGCTCTTCTTGTCTAGCATTTCCACCGCAGTTTTGACGGAGTTCAACACAAAGATGTGCTGACCCAAAACATTGACATGCGAAATATCACCTGCACGGAAGGGCGTTGAAATGCATGATTTTGAAAGATGGGAGGCTTTTACCATACTTCTTGCCCCACTCAGCGAAGGTGAGCCAGGGCTTGACATGAGGTATGTCTTGAATGTTCCCAACGAGAGGCAGGCCCCGAGGGCCTGGGGGATATGGTGCATGATTCTTCTTGACGAATACCTGCATCATCAGATACACTCCGACGCCAGCAAGACAAACGTATAGCAAAGTAACAACGGTGAGTGTCGCCATGTTTGACTATTAGCAGAAGATGAGCAAGGGCGGTGTGGTCATCAGAAGATATGCCAAGTGGAGTACCTGGGTTGAACCTGTGAAGCGGAGGGACATCTTATATCTCTTTCTGACGGTGCTGATTTATGTTAGTAGTACGGGTCTGCGACTGCATTTTGTTATTAACGCAATAGGAGGCTGCCAAGTCAGACTGTCAGACAAGATCCTGCTGGCATGCAACAGTAAAACCACCGATTCCTTATCACTGTGGGAAGGGACTCCAAGCCCATGAATTATAGTAGTGAAAAGCCAATAGAGAGAGCCACTGAAACTCTCTGAAACTAGTAATGAATCGACGGCCAATGAATCCATCAGTGATTGAATTGTCGACATGGCCACTGATTCTTGATGTGACGTAGTAGCCACTGAATTCGATACTAGGGGTCGGCATTGTCGACTATTTACCTTGCTCCGGTTGATTCCGGCGCTTCAGCCGATTTTATTCAAGACTGTCGAATACTACTACAAGAAAACGTGCTGAAAAGATAGGAAATACGACTCGCTTGGAACGCTTCGAGATACAAGTACAATTATGAGGGCAGTAGAAGGCACTGTGCCTCTTTTTAGGCTTTCGAACCACTCGCGTCAGTCTCGGTGAATTTTTTAATTTTCCGGTCAGTCTTCGTTGTCGTTGTCGTGTGGGCATTTGTAGTTGGTATTGTGGACCACACCGAGCCTCAGGATAGTAACGTTTCCCGCGGTCGCTTGGAAAGTATCATGGTTAGATTTTCCAATGACGGAGGGTGGACTCAATCTCCGCGATGGAACCGTTGAGAGCGGTATTTGTATGGATAGGTTGAATACGAATGCCTTCATATAGAAGACAAGGAGAGATGTTACTTGGAAATTATATTTGATGCTATCGAAGTGCAGCGCAAATTTGTCCAGAATAGGCCAGTTTGCCGTTTCGTTGTCCATCTACGGAGCATCTTCGACAGCTTGTCCATGAGGGGAGTCAGGTACGGCGTTATCCTTCTTGTTTTAAGTTGTCATGTAAAGGTGTCACGTACCCTTAAGGCGAATACGTTTCTTACAAAACGTACTCATGCGTCGATCTGTGGTGGCAAATTGGCCTTGCAACGTCTCAAGGTTTGTGATTCCTGCTTGGCAGTCCGTTGCAAGGTCAGGGTGGGCGGGTCGAGTAATATGGAACCGATATTTAACTTTTTCTAAAGGGCTCATGCCATTGGCGATATGGTTTCCTGCAGGTCCACATTTCAGGCGATAGGTGGATACACGACCTACTATGACGAGTTTGGCCGGGAGTTCACTACTTTCGTTGACGAGTTCCAGTCCACTGCTGGAATGTTGCCAAATGGTATTTGGGGATGAGATGTGGTTGCTGATGTCTTCGTTGCATGTTCAGTGGTCTGTGCAATAACCATAGTTAATCACGTGGGTTATAAATTATTTTTCTTCACACGGACTATTGCTTACGTTGGCACATTTTTACCAACATATGCACATGACCTTGCGGAGCAAGGTGATGGTATGATATAGAGTATACCCCCGGGTACCACCTGGGCGTGGTGACCTCGCTGGCGACCCCCGCCAGACCTTAGTAACTGGTCAGTAGTTACTGAAATGGCAATTCACATTGTTGCTCCACGTGTAGTACATCTACTACTCGATCTTAATATCAAGTATCCTGCACACAAGTACCTAAATATTGACTGCGAGATTGCACAACTGCATAAACCTTTTTGTCTCCTGGTATATTCAATGTGACCTCACATTATCTTTAACAGGGTGAGATGACTGCTAGTTAGCAATACTTAGGAAGTGTCTTGTTGAATGAGCGCCAGGGCTTTGTCAGAGCGGGCTTCGATCGAGCATTTAAAGGGCTTGGGGTGACTGAGAGTGTGTATGTTCAGAGTACCGTGATCATATTAAGATATGCGACATACCTGATCAACCCAGATGAGGGGTCAATTTCAGGGGTTATTTCAACACCATTCTCGACAACCTTGGAAACATCAAACACCGCAAGTGACATCACGGTGGATATCCAGATGGATGCATCAGCGAGATGCAGACCTGTACAGTCGAAAACAACCAACGTTAGAAAATTGCCTGGTTAGTCAGTGCCCTCTGCCAATTGCGCATACCTGGACAAAGACTGTGGAGCAGAATCTTAGCATTCCACTCAGAATATAACAGCGACTCGATCCTTACCGTCTACCAAAACCAAAGCACACCGTGCGAGGATCGGTCTCAGGCTCTTTTCCATCCTTGGCTAAAAAGCGCTCAGGATTGAATTCTGAGGGGTTGGCATATGTCTCTGGATCATTGAGCATGAACCTGACATAAATCAGAAAATATACCGGATACATGTAACAAAAAAAATACCAACCATATGTTAGGGATTATCAATGAGCCTTTTGGAATGTAATACCCATCGTGGATGTCGTCCTCAGTGGTGCAGTGATCGACTGACATTAGGCACTGTTATTCAACTAAATGTTGCGATAAACAAGATACACATACTACTAGGTATGACAACATTCCAGCGGAGGACCTCCTTGGCAAGCGCCTCGATGTAAGGAAGGGAGGGGCGATCAGTGAAGGAGGGAAGACGATCAGGGCCAACAACAGCATCAATTTCAGCTTGAGCCTTCTTCTGTACATCAGGGAAAAGTGTCATAGCTAGGAAAAATGAGTAGATCGCAGAAACAGTCTGAGCAAACAGGCGTTAGCCCCAAAATATGTTGGTTTCAAACGGACGAACCGTGTCGGCACCACCGCTGAATAGGGATGCAGCAGACCACTTCACAACATGATCCTCTTCCGCAGTCACAGTACGGCCCTTTAACAGATCTGAGGAAAAAGACTTGAGGGCAGTGCCAGCAGCCTGTAAAACTCAATCAATGTACGTGACGCCGGAACAGCTACAAATCTTAGTCACCATCTGATCTTTGACAAACTTGTAGGGTGCAGCGGCCATCTCTTCGACGGTCTCACGGCACTCACGGGCTAGGCGTTTGAAGCCAGCACCAGGGAACCACTCCGGGAGCATGGCCACTAGAACATAGTCAGGCTGTTGAAAGAAACCGTCGAGATGTCATGGCCTTACAGGACGGCAGGAAGTCAACCATAAAATCACCAGTGATGCCGTACCGCGAGAATTGATCTAAAGCGCGTTCTGCAACGTCAACAAGAGGATCATTATCCTCCTTAACTTCATAACCATAACAGATGCGCAGAATGATAGCGCCAGCGGTGCTATAAAGATTCAAGATCAAGCTACTAATACTATAAAACACATACTGTCGAATGTGTGCTTGCAGTCGGTCCGGTTTCGCGAGCACACACTTCAGGAATCGGCGGGTCTCCATCTCCTCGATGGGGTGGTAGACAACCAAAGCAGAGCGACTGCCAAAGATGCGGTGGCAATTCTTGCGAAACAAGCGAAAGCGTTCACCGTAACGGAGATAAGCCAGAGTTTGTGCGTAGCCCATAAGTTCGCCACTCATAGGAACAACCGGACGGTCAGAGTATATAGAGCTCTTCTTGTCTAGCATTGCCACCGCAGTTTTGACGGAGTTCAACACGAAAATGTGTAGACCCAGAACATTGATATGCGAAATATCACCTGCACGCAAGGGCGTTGAAATGCATGATTTTGGAAAAAACGGGAGGCTTGTACCATACTTCTTGCCCCATTCAGCGAAGGTGAGCCAGGGCTTGACATGAGGTATGTCTTGAATGTTCCCAACGAGAGGCAGGCCCCGAGGACCAGGGGGATATGGTGCATGATTCATCTTGGCGAATACATGTTTCATCAGATACACTCCGACGCCAGCAAGACAAAGGTACAGCAAAGTAACAAAGGCGAGTGTCAACATGATCGACTATTAGCGGAAGATGAGCAAGGGTGGTGTGGTCATCAAGCAAGAGAAATGCCAAGCGGAGTGCCCGGTTTGAACCTGTGAACCGGAGTATCTTATATCTCTTTCTGACGGGGCCAGGCACTCGTATTAGTACGGTCTGCGACCAGCTTTGGCAGTGCGTTATTAACGCAATCCTGCTGGCATGACGTCACCAATATGAAAACGAGCGCTTAATGACACACTTTGTATTTCTTGATGTTTCTTGAGTGCTGCTCATGTCATGCGCGATTAACGCAATAGGTGCAGCTGGCACAACGATGGCGCTGGACAACAAACCTTGTCGCTTAAACTTGGTGCATCAATGGTTGCATCATAATGTTAATTTACTCGTGATCAGCTTAGATTCTCCGATATCAGTCTCTAACCCTAGGGGCTAGAGCTAACGTCGGATCAAATGCAATGTTGCACTGAGGGGCATCCAGGATAGCCCTATTGCGTGGAATTGTCATCGATGGTCCCGCCCACGCCAGGATATTCTACCCACCCGTGGCACCTGTGCAAGATCGCCTCCATTGACGAGTACCCACTTTCCTTTGCTGTATGGCACAATCATGCTCAGGTCGAACAAACCAATGAGAACATGAGCATTATCCTCAACCCTCGCCATCTTTTCATGCATGCGGGTAGATCTGGGCGTGAATCTCTAGCAGATCATTGGAGGGAATCTTCGTAATCAGCGAGATCATGTGGTCGGCGAGTTCAACAGTCGTCCTCAGTCATCTCTCTAATTGCTGATGGCTTCCGCTTTTCTGTGATGTGACTTCATAGGTGTGTGGAGCGAGAAAATCCTGCGGGGTCCACCCCCTCTTGAACTACTCATCCATGCTGAAGGTCGGACGGCGGCAATAACTAACGGAGATAGGCAATGCAGACATGCGCGTTACAATACCATCTAAACATTGCTCGGATAGTTCATTCCAGTTCTGAATCCATGCTTCTTGTCAATGCAACGTGTCCGGCCATGCAAGCGGAGAGCGTCTTCTCGCAGAACTGAATCCTTCGCACGACAACCTTCGACCCCGTGGTAGCTTCATGATGTCTCCGAATGTGGGTTCGCCCATGAGTAATTGTCCCCACGACGCAATACCAGCGCAAACGTCATGAGCCCGGATATTTCTCCAATATTGCGGTATTAAATAAAGATTGTGGATAGTTGTCAAGAAGGTTGGACGCACGTATCGGCGGGGATGTAAGGTATACACGGGATAATGATGCACCGAACCTATGACGCGATAAGGTATAAGCGACGGGCTTGGTACTCCAAGTCTGCGTAGCCTCTCCATGGTAGTGCGAAGGGATGCCTGAGCATATCACTCGGAGACTGTTTCAAATACAACGAGATAGGTGATCCGGTTCTGGATCTTGCAGTTTGAGTTGTTGGCAACGTGGATGACAAACTTGTGCACGCAGCCATAGACCAGTGAGTGAGTTTGAAATGCAACTGACTGAGCTGCGATACGTACAAGAAGACGGAGGTGAACACTACAGTGAGTACTTGCAAGAGACGGCTGGGAGTGACATGATTACGCAATTAATGGTGGAGTGCGAAGTAAAGTGCTGACAAGCTATCCTTTTGTCACCAGAGAAATGACTGGGGTGTGGTTAGTCTACTGAACAAGGTGATAGCACGACAAAAAAATCTGATTAGCGCAGAAGCCGCCCGTGCCATCTTCCCACCAGAAGTGGTGAAACAGTGCAGGGAACTTATGATTAGTAACAACACGAAACACCAAAGCCTCGGAGTTCACGAACGTTCATCGATTCCATCCAAACTGCACTAGGGCAGAGAAGACTGGCAGCGCTAGAGAACCGGCCAGTGCTCCGCTAATTAGAGCGATCAGATCGATCAACAATGATGTTGGATGAAGAAGCGGTCTATTACATAAGTCACCAGTAAAAAAACACCAGGCCGAGGATGCATTGGGAATTACGTAAGCTTAACGTTGGGGTCCACCGTGTGACAAAGCTAGTACGCATTCTTACTCGTATTCTACTTTGCACGCGGCGTGAGTGCTTAATTCGAACGTTTTTGCGTCTTCTGAAGTTGCTCATGCGTTAATGATGTTGCTGTCTCTGATCAGTACATACCCCACCAGTGCATGGCGGCCTGATAGTCCGCAAAATTGTCTCGCTCGTGCAGATGTTTGTACCAGTGGGATCATGTTACTAGTAAGCTTTTTGGCCGACTCTGGTGTAGGAAGAGAGTCAACGATGAACACTTCTTGAGTGCTCTGGATGGAACATAACAATATCGATCGGAGTCTCTTGCGCTGATTTGGTGTCCGAATAGTTTTTAGGGAGCAAGCAAACCAATATCGTATTGCATCGTATCACAACTGGAACCGAGCGCTCCCCACTGCTCCCCCCGTCCATACTTGCCCAAGGGAAAAGTTTCAGCGACACTCTTGAGACAGTTCGGTTGAAGCTGAAATTATCCGGATGTCTCGTAACAAACGAAGTCCCTTGCATATCGCATCCCTGGCGCTCTGGCTGCGTGCAGGGTCCGCATGACCTGTTGCAAACTTTCAAATTGGATCGTTCATTGAGTGCATACAGTCACACGGTACAGTATCTATAAAGAAGGGCCGACTTGTCAGAGTCTTCCTTCTACTTATATGCATAGGGGACATATCATCTACATTTGGTGCCGTTGACGCGGCCTGCCAAGGTTCTTAGATAAGTACACCACTTTCCGATGTTCCTGGTTGCTGCGCTCCACCACTCGTTGAAGCATGATTGCATCAAGATTTGTACCTCTGCGATCGTCGCGCGCACCTGCCATTAATGTACGTGCAACACATCATATCGTCCACTGAGCTTGCGAGCTAAGGGCTAAACCCTTCATGCATTCATGTGCAACAACCCAGGTACACCCTGTTATCCGCTACAAACCTATTATAGAATAACCACTTGCCACGTAGAATCACGCACTAGACTGTAAAGTCATGAGCTGGCCGCAACACCGGCCTGCACCTGCTCTGCTCTGCCTAGGTTTGGTCGGATGCCCGCTCCGCCGCGCAGGGTTGCTCGTGGTCCGTGGAGCATGCCAGCACTACCCCGGCGTCGCGTGAAGCTTGTACCCGACCGGTTTAAAAACTGTCGCGGCGCAATCCTACAGGCTATTCGTCAACCCACCATGCTAAATAAAAATCACATTCCAAATCCACATCATATCGCAAACAATGTTCCATTCTGACACAGATCTGCTAGGATCTCTGACCGTTGAAGTCTCTCAGCAGCTGAAGGATTATGAAGATCAAGCCTTGCTCGAGATGATACGGCCGAATCTTGCAACTCAATTTGTGCAGGATGCCCCCGAGTTGGCCAAATTCCGCGAGAACCATTGCGCAAAGCGATCCGATGGATGATAAGGAATTCCTACGCATCTTCCGAGAATCCATTCCACCACAAACTATGAAGCTTACAGGCCGTTCATAGCAAAGTTTTTTGCAACCCCTTGCAAGGAGGGCTGACGTCAAGAACATGTTCGCCCCAGGACTACCCTACTTCCTTGCCATGTCCAGTATGACATCTGGCAAATCAGTAAAGACATTCCCAAGATATCGGCCTCTCCCGCATCTGTTGCGAAACCCTCTTTATCTCGCGCTTCCCCAGTCAGAGGGAACTACCTTATCACCAACTTCTATGAGATATTCGCAAATCTTAAAAATAGATTGCGAAGACGGTCAATCCAAGCAGGTGACAGTCTGCTCGTTGAGCATTGGCTTTCTGCGAATGGCAATGAACTGGGACGCCGAGCATGACAACGAGAGGCTCGACTTATGGGGTAAGCCCGTCATGTCACTTTTCCTTGCGCATGCTGATCCCCAGCCAAATTTCAGTGCCGGGGCAAACAGATCCATACGCGATTTCCTTGGTCAAAAGCTATCGCGCGTTCTTCATTCTGAATGCTCTGTTTGCATTTGCAGACCGTCGTGTGACGATCATCCGCTTCTTCTTTGCTAATGTATTCGTCATTTTTTGCAGTATATAGAGGATGAGTGGTCTCCACTCATCGACTGCATTGAGAAAGGTATCATCCCGGATGTTGAAGACATAGACCGTTTGCGAGCACCTTTGGAGGTCATATTTTTCTTGCTTGTTACATTCCATTCGGCTCACAAGGTCTTTCAGAAACTGTTTAAGCCAAATCCTCTTCGTGCTGCAGAACTTCGGGAAATCGGGCCTCCTGGCATCCAGGGTTGGGCGGTCCGCGTGTGGGCCTCACTTGGAAAAATTCATTGGGGTTACTGGAGGTCCGGCTGCTACAGCCGTTTCTAAGGCACGTCAAGTATGGAAGGTTTATAACCCAACTGACAGCCAACCACACACAAGCTTACTCACGTCCTCGGACCTTCTATCCCCACGCAAGCTACCGGTTATGGCAGCTCAGAGGGTGGCATCGCCCTACCATACCACAAAGGCAATCCTAACACTGACTATAAGGTCCTCTTTGTGGATTTGCTCACCGAATTTCTGGACGTGCGTTCCAACGAGCCTCCTGAGCGTGTATTGCCCATTGTAAGAACCACTCGCTGCGTCCCACCTTTGTCTATACTCATCCGTGTCATAGTACGAACTGGTACTTGGAGGGCATTATGAGCCTGTTTTAACGACTCGCAGTGGCTTGTGGAGATATCGCATTGGCGATGTCATTACCGTTAAAGGCTTTGCGCCAGATGACGGATTGCCTGTTATCAATTACCTTCACCGGCGAGAGTGAGTTGCCGCATTATCGGTTTTAGGAGCTGAACTAATATCGCCCGATTTGGAAGTGGCGAACTTGTGATGGCATTCGGAACAACGTGCACTGAATCGCAATTGACGAATGCGATCGTATCTGCCGCCAATCGATGGATCGGCCAAATCATAGATTTCACCATTGTAGGCGACGACCGAGACACGCCTATAACTTATGGGTATTTGATAGAAATTGGAGGAGAAATAGGTTCGTGCTTACCACGCGACGGGACTAAGCTAGACTGAGCTAATCGATGTTTGCAGGAAAGGACGCGAGAATGGCGATACAGCAAACTTTTGAAGATCTCATGGCGGCAAACGCCGAGTTTCGCACTGCTTTCTGGCAAGGCCGAGCAAGAAAGCCGACCATTCGTCTCTTGGAGAAAGGCGCATTTTCAGAATATCGTCAACAGAAGTGCAACAAGGCGAACGTCTCGATATCCCAGGTGAAGGTCCCCGTCGTCCTATCCGACCCAACACTTAGGGAATGGCTCCTGCAACAAGTTGTAATCGAGCTGTAACAGAGTCTGGTCGGAATCTGTCCATTGCTCTCACAAATGACTACGTTCATGTATCGAACAGATTTACCTCTTGGGTCGTTCTGTCGGATGTGTTCGCATTGACACGAGTCATATAAACTGAAGACCGCTCCCAATGCCCGTTCATGCAACTACTTCAACAAAATGCTAAACAGAAAGGGAATCACTGGGAGAGACTAAAAACGTCAGTACCAGCCTAAGAGTAGTGTTCTCACTCACAACAAGCAATCAATGCGACTACGGCAGAGGCAACCACGAACATTGAGATACACAACAGTCTTCTCATGACTGTTCTATATCTCAGTGTTCTGGACTGTAGCCTATAGATATTGTTTTATGATATGATCAGCGGGCAAGTGATACTTTATAGTAGCTGTCGCCGGTCACCACGCTGTGTTGGCCATCACCGACGGGCGAGAGTTGCGACGCATCGGTATTCGATGTTCCGTCGGTCCCTGAGGCCTGGTCCCGGATCCTGGTATGATAACAGGAATAGATATGATAACGGAATCCCAGATACGGCCCGGGTGATGATCAAAACCCTGCAACAACGTAATGGGATTGGCCGGGATCCAGGCCGATCCAGGGCCTCACATACTTATTACGTCGTGCTCGTTTTCTTCTGATCGGCAGCATCACTTCCGGTAAGACCTAGGGGCATCGAACTCATCATGATGGGATGGGTACCAAGGAGTTTGTGGTCTGCGTGACTAAATTGCAGGATGTGAATCTGATAAGCAATATTCGGCACTTCGGCTCTGTCCTCGTACTGTATCTCGCTGAATTCTTCGTAAAATGGCCCCTCGAAAGATCGCAAGGTGAAAGTAATGCATGGTTTCCCGTTGAATTTCCACGCCAGATATCAACCTCCCCTCCAAGAACTGTGACCGACATCGTCTGGGACTCGTTCATCCGGAAAAACCTTCCCGTCTTAACTTAGAGAAAATTATAATAATTAGTATTAGTTTGACCTGAACTTGCCGGTCTAGCAAAAAATTGCCTATTAGGCTCTCTGGTCTATCGAAATTGTGTGTAGCTAGCGCAAAGTTACAAAAGTATTTATGTACTCGAGTATTAATAAAAAGACTGGCACTTATCGAGGACATTAGCAGAAGTCCAGTCACGAGAAGCAATACAGCCGAAACACGGGATTATATGAGCGCTACAATGTACATTGATAAGAGGTACAAACACTAGGGCCAAGTGTTCCCCGTTTGTGATAACGCGTGAGACCTCGCATAGGCCGTAATTGTGATCAGGCACACGAAACGCGGAGGATCATTCGACGTAAGCCAGATGCTTCTGAGGGTGGGGTATCGATGGAAACAGCAAGGGGGGGTGATGGCCTTGGGAGGGATCGAGAAAATAAAACAAACCTGCGCAACTCGATACCCTGTGTATGTATAGTTGGCTAACATAATGATGACTCACCCTCGAATATTTTCTGTGGAAACTAAGATACCTCGTCCATTGAGTGGCGTCGTGATCAGAAAAATGACCTGTTGCATAGAATAAATCGTGGATAAACTTGAAGGTGACAAAGTGCGTTGGCAACGTTCATTGATGATAGCGGATAATGACTTCTCTCTCGCCAGTTTACACACAGTTTCTGTATTCACAGTCGTCTCATCTTCGGAGGGTTGCGCGTCTAAAACGGCTGGGGGGAACGGCGGACTGATGGGGGTACGCCTCACATCAAGCCATTCGTGAACTCAGAGATGCGTCAGGGACAACGGGTGTCCCTCAGACTAGATAATATTGTCCTCCTTAGAGAACCCTCCATAGGACATAGAAATGTAATTTTTTTAAAAGACTTCTCTTCGCATGACGATCGTTTAAGAACATACTCATATAATGAAGGAACAACCAGCTGGCCCGTCCGAGGAGAAGAATGACATTATCTTCACCCTCAACGACAACGAGTCCGTTTCACAGGATCTTACGCCATCAAAGGCGGGTGTAAGTGTGAGATGAACTCTGGCACTTTCGGGCCGCACAAAGCAAGGGTCGTACTATCCGACAAGGCTTGATCAGAAGAAGAGAGGCACCGGAATTGAAAAAAAAAAAAATACGTAGTAGGATGTCATCCTGTATGTAAAGATATCCTGTTTCGTTCTGACGAATTCGTCTAACAGGTTCATGTGAGAGCAATGCACTCCGGAGTCCACTGTGACCGCAGCGTCGAGCCGTGTCTGATAGTCACCCGAATAGAAGGAAAATGGCCGTTACTTACTGAGGATGGAAGACGAGAGATTTCGGTCGTGGAGCGATATTGTATTTTAATATTTATCATCATTATTTAAAGCCTCGCGGCGAGTATTTGAGCTTGAAGGCAGGTGAGGCGGACTCTGAATCTGATGTTTCAGGACCGAACACGAAGGGTATCTGAGTCCGATCAGAAGTTCAGCCTACTTGCAAATCCAAAGCATGGATAGAAGGGACAGAGCACACTGGCTAGTTGGCGCTTCTGGGCCAGAAAACATATAACCAGGTAGGAGAGCTCCAAGTCAGCGGCGCCGGCTTTATTTGGCGGAATCCCAATGCGGTTGAATGCAAACAAATGTGAAGCATAAACTTGTTTGTGCATGTCCCTCACGGTGGGCCGTCATATTCCAGTCATAAGTGAGGTGTCTTTTCATAGTGCCACGTCAAATGGCCATTATTCTTGTATTCGCTGCTGTATTTGATTGTCACTCATATCATTGTGCAAGTAAGTACAAGCCGTCTGATACACGTACCAACTTGAATGACCTCTCAGCCGGAGTCTAGACAGAGTCCCTCGTTTTTTCTTTTCGTCTTTGCTGTCACTGAGCTCGTGCGGTATGTAGTTTTGTGGAATATTGGTCTCCTGGGATGCAGAACAGGGTGAGCGACTGTGGTACTCGGGTGGCTAAAAGAAATCAAGTAAAAAGAGCCTGGGCCATAAATATTCCAAGTCTACAATCCATGCAGTGAGTGCTACGATTTCGGGTCTGGTGATTAAAATTGGGAATATTGGTGCTGCAAGGAATGTACAAGTGTCGACCAAACTCTCTTACAGCTCAATCATAACTCTTTCCAGGAACCATTCCCTAAACTTTAGGTCGGATAGGACGACGGGAACCTTCACTTGCGATATCGACACGCTTGTTTTGTCGCATTTCTGCCTGCGATACTCTGCAAATGTGCCTTTCTCCAATAGACGAATGGTCGGCTTTCTTGCTCGGCCTTGCCAGAAAGCAGTGCGAAACTCGTCGTTTGCCGCCATGAGATCTTCAAAAGTTTGCTGCGTCGCCATTCTCGCGTCGTTTCCTGCAAACACCAATTAACTCAGTCTAGCTCGGTCCCGTCGCATGGTAAGCACGAACCTATTTCTCCTCCAATTTCTACTAAATATCCATAAGTAATAGGCGCGTCTCGGTCGTCACCTACAATGGTGAAATCTATGATTTGGCCGATCCATCGATTGGCGGCAGACACGATCGCATTCGTCAATTCTGATTCAGTGCACGTTGTTCCGAATGTCATCACAAGTCCGCCTCTTCCGAAGCGGGCGATATTAGTTCAGCTCCTAAAACCGATAATGCGGCAACTCACTCTCGCCTGTGAAGGTAGTTGATAACAGGCAATCCGTCGTCTGGAGCGAAGCCTTTCACGGTGACGACATCCCCAAGGCGGTATCTCCACAAGCCATTACGAGTCGTCAAGACGGGCTCGTAATGCCCTCCAGGTACAAGTTCCCACTGCGGCAGGGATGAGCAGACACAGCTGTGATGCAAATGAACAGTCCTTACGATGGACAGTACGCGCTCCGAAGGCTCGTTGGAATACACATCCAGGAATTCGGTGACCACATCCACAAACACCACCTTGAAGTCAGTCTTGGGGTCGCCTTTGTGGTATGTTATGGCGACGCCACCCTCTGAGCTGCCATAACCAGGAGACTGGGTGGGGACAGAAGGTCCGAGTGCATGAGTAATCTGGTGTCGCTAACTGTCAGTTGTGTAGTAAACCTTCCGCACTTGACATGCCTTGGGAACAGAGGCAGTAGCAGGACCTCCGGTGATCCCAACGAACTTTGTCAAGTAAGGCCACACGCGGACTGCCCAACCCTGGATGCCAGGAGGCCCGATTTCCCGAAGTTCAGCAGCACGAAGAGGATTTGGTCTAAACAGTTTCTGAGTGACCTTGTGAGCCGAGTGGAATGTAACAAGCAAGAAAAATATGACCTCCAAAGGTGCTCGCAAATGGTCTAGGTCTTCAACATCCGGGATGATACCTTTCTCAATGCAGTCGATGAGTAGAGACCACTCATCCTCTATATACTGCAAAAAAATGACGAATACATTAGCAAAGAAGAAGCGGATGATCGTCACCCGACAGTCTGCTAGTGCAAACAGAGCATTCAGAACGAAGAACGCGCGATAGCTCTTGACCAAGGAAATCGCATATGGATCTGTTTGCCCTGGCACTGAAATTTGTCTGGGGATCAGCATGCGCAAGGAAAAGTGACATGGCGGGCTTACACCATAAGTCGAGCCTCTCGTTGTCATGCTCGGCGTCCCAGTTCATTGCCATTCGCAGAAAACCGATGCTCAACGAGCAGACCGTCACCTGCTTGGATTGACCATCTTCGCAATCTATTTGTAAGATTTGCGAATACTTCAGAGAAGCCGGTGATAAGGTAATCCCCTCTGACGGAGGAAGCGCCAGATATAGAGGATGGTGCAACAGGTGAGGGGGTGGCCGATATTTGGGGAATATCTTTACTGATTTGCCGGATGTCATACTAGACATGGCGAGGAAGTAAGGTAGTCCTGGGGCGAACATGTTCTTGACGTCAGCCTCCTTGCAAGGGGTCGCAAAAAACTTTGCTATGAACGGCCGGTAAGGTTCGTAGTTTGTGGTAGGGACGAATTCTCGGAAGCTGCGCAGGAATTCTAGATCGTCTTTCGGGTTGCCCTGCGCGATAGCCTCACGGAATTTGGCCAACTCGGGAGCATCCTGCGCAAACTGAGACGCAGAATTCGGTCGTATAAACTCGAGCAAAGCTCGATCTACGCGATCCTTCAGCTGCTGAGATAGTTCAGCGGACAAGGAGTCCAGGAGATCTGTTTCAGGACGAGACATTGCTACGTTCTGATGTGGAGTTGGAAAGCAGCTTTATATAATGGTCGACTTATAGCCTGTGGAATTACCCACGACGCATCTCAAGCTGGTCGGACACAAGTTTGCCATTGTGTTAACATCCTTCACGACCAGTCCGCCTGGCCGCTCAAAACTCTATATTTCGGTTCGTGGCCAGTCTAAGGATGATCTTGTGTGGCAAGTGATCATAGGTTTGTAGCAGATGACAAGATGTACCTGGGTATGTACACGTGAGGGTTTAGCCCTTGGCTCGCAAGCCCAGGTAATCATAATGAGGGCACATACATGATAGCAGGCGCGCGCGATGATCGCGAATATCGGGCAATGAGCACTACGTGCGTATCTGGTAAGCCTGGGAGGCCAACGAAACCAAATGTATATGATATGAGAATTTACTCTAGGCATATTTGAAGCAGAAAGAGGATAGGTGGGTCCTTCTTCTTTATAGATGCCGTGCACTGTACATGGGAGCTCAATGAGTAATCAAATTTGAAAGCTGCAACCGAATATATGGAACTTGTATACAATCAGAGTGTCATCATGTGCCATGCAAGAGACTGCGTTCATCCGGAATCGTTTCAGCTTCAGCCAGACTGTCTCAAGAGGATAACCAACATATATACTCTCCTCGTACAAGTTCAAGTTGGGGTGGAAACTTCAGCAATAGGAAGTGCTGTATACACGGCGGTCTTACGGACCTTGAAAGATAGTTTAAGAGAACACAAACAGTTTTAATAATTTTTCTTGAAGCAATGATTGTTGATGTTAGCCAGATCTAAGGACAAAAGTGACCGTTATGATGATGTCTCAGGCAGGGCTTGAAATTTGAAAGTCTACCTATGGGAATAATATCATGTCTCCACGCGATGTTATTGTCATAGTAAGACTCGAGTCAGACCTTGAAAGAGCACTGAACGTTTCTTCAGTTTGAAGCCATCGATGATAACACGGTTTGTGATCAAGGATCAGCGAAATTTAAATTTGTAAACCAGCGACAACAAAGGAGTTGTTATGTAAAACCCTCCTCCTCGAATTATCCTCGTAGATCAGACCCAACGCGCGTCAACGATCAACGATCAGCTCAGCACTAACAACGACAAGCCAACGAATGAACTGCAGATGACGATGCATACCACAGACCAACCATCAAACACAAGCTCGTGGCACTCCATCCGTCCCTGGACGCCTCACCTCATCCTCTCAGTCCGTGAAATCACATCTGTATCAGCGACTTTTATTCTCTCTTCAACGCTCTCTCCACAGTCTGAACCTGCTTTGAACGTAGATCACGAATCCTCGATACCCGCAACCACAAACACCAATATTAATGCAGACCCAGATGCCAACCCAGACATAGAGACAGAAGTGGAAGTAGAATTGGATGGGGAACTAGGAGGAGAAACAGAAGGGGATACGGTAGGAGATACCGCCCGAGGAATTATCTCCGAAGCACTCTCAACAGGCCTCTCGGTATCTGTCAACGGTTCCCCATGGCAGCGCGTCCTGATACGCCTCCTCGATCCCGTAGACGAGGCTGTTATCATCATATACGGGCTCATGCCTGGACGGCAGTATGATATCGATCTGGGACTTGTACAGGATGGATTGGCGAGCTCTATTAGGAGGCAGGTCGTCACTGAAGGTATGTGCTTTGATATGATTGGTGATGGTATGGGGACTTATTAGTTGTGTGTGTAGAAGCGGAAGGTGCGATTGAGAATGGAAGGTTGGACGAAGGAACAAGTACTAGTTTTCTCCTCCCACCCTCATCCTCATCCTCCTCCTCCGCATCATCATCATCCCTAAGCCTATCAATGTCAACTGCAGCAACCGACTCAAGCCCCCTCACCCACCCTCGACCGCGCTCCACATCCCGATCCACAACACCCACCCAAGAAGATCGTCTCCCCAAACTGCAATCTACCCTCACTTCCCTCCAAACGCACATTTCCGAACTAACCACCACCCTCAAATCCACGCGCAGAGACAGCCAAAAAGCAGATGCAGTGCTCAAAAACGAGATCGAAGCTCTGAATCGGGCTTCTGAAAAGCGAGTGCTGCCGAGAGTAAAGCGAGGCAGCGCATCAGGGCGCTTGAGGATGCTGTTAAGAGGGCTAATGAGGGGAGAGAGGATGTTGAGAAGGGAAGAAGTGAACTTGAAGGCTCTAGCCCTTCTTTGAGGAAACAGGAACGCGAGAAGGAGGAGGAATGTGAAGTTCTCAAAAAGGAGGCTTCTAAAGTGCGTAGGGAACGCGAGGGGAAAGAGGAAGTGAGGAGAAGACGCATGGAGGGTGTTAAGAATGAGATTGGGAGCGTCGAGCATAGGTTGGAGAGGCTTTATGCGAGGCAGGAGAAGTTGGAGGGGACGGTGTTGATTGATTTGGAAAAGACGCTTAGGGAGGTTGAGAAGGAGATACAGGAGGCTGAAGCGGAGGCTGAAGCAGCTGGGGCGTATAATGCGACTATTGGGAGATCAATGCAGATGCAGCCACCTGTGTCGCCTCCTCAGTATCGGAGACATCAGCCACGGACATCGGCATATCGAATCGGGGATGGCGCGCCTCCTGGACTTGGACTTGCTAATCCGTATGCGAACTGTCATGCGTCTAGCTCTGGGTTTTCGCATTCTACAAGTCCATCGCTGTCGCATCCGAATGTATCGATATTATCCCATTCAACGAGTTCTACAGGGTCGCACGGTGGTAGTATGCTCCCTACTAGTTCTACGTCTGGGACGTCGACACTGTCGAGCAAGGCACCGCCTTTTGAACCAGCGCGCGGGTTTAGGTCTTCGTTTCCGCCGTTAAAACCTTCACCTGGTATTGCACCGATTCAGAGGCCTGTTGGGACAATTTCGAAGGGTGGCGGGTGACGACGAAATTAAGGTGTAAGGTGTGGTATTCGTTGTAGCTCTAGGAGAGTCAAATACTGAGTGCTTTGTGTTGAACGGGTTCAAACCTCTCAATTTGTCCGGGAGTGCGAGGGTCAATATTTCATTATACTACGAGATCTATACCCATTTGGCACGGTCTCTTCTACCGTTAGCACAGGTAAAAACGGGGGACCGCCAATCATAGCAGGCGCACGGAGGCCTCATTCACTCAGCCAGCCGTACATAGAAGTGAGTGTTGGGTTTCAGAGTTGGTATGGTGATTCATCGAGTTTAATTTCCTTTATACAAGTCTAATTGGTCGATATCGACTTTCGAGTTTTCCAGGGTTTATCGATATCCCTTGCACGAGCTCCGGGCGCTCTCGGCATGACGCGCATGCTGATACGGAGGTTCTCTCCACATGGGCTATTTTTATCCTGATGTACATATGCTTTGTCTGTCGTCGTGCTAGCATTCGATTTTTCGTCACCCACCCATATATCTTCCCAACACGCTTCTTACACATGTATCCCGGCTCCACTTGACGTCTATCTATAGCGGTCTGGTTTTGTTCTTGGCTAGTGCAGTATTCATTGGATTTTTTTCGAAACCCTTTTGCTGGCTAATCCTCGCGGCCTGCGCTTCTGCGAGACCAATTAGTCGGTGACTATTTGCCTTGCAAGACTTCAAGCCATCCGTCATATCTCTCTTCCCTCGTTTGAATTTATTTTACTTCAATCAATATCTGCCCCAAAAAGTACAAATATACGTCCAGTGGCAAAGTCACGGTGGGTGTCAGGGAGTCCAGTATGATCAACATACATTCGCGTACATATAAATTGTGCACATTCAGAGCGTGCAATAAGGCTTGCAGACCAGCTGTTAGCTACTAAGTAAAATCAAAATCTAGTTTCCTCCCCTTCCCTACTCCCCCTATGAGAGAGAGATGAGGCGAGGCGAGACGCCGAGCGACAACCACAACAGCTATCAAACAGACGAGCAAAAAACTGAGGAAAGAGAAAAGCCAACTAAGTACTGGTGAACTACGAAGAAGGAAACCGAATCAAAAATCGTAACCATAACTGGGCCTCATCTAGTAAATCGCGCGTCAGTGCCATGAACCAGACTGCATCGATGTGAAAGCAGAAACACGACTTACTGCACAAAAAGGAAAGACCTGCCGTGCCGGTTAGCCATGTGGTTAAATCCAGGACACAAACCACTGAAACTCACGCATACGTGCCCAGGGCAGGTGTGGCATTGTCTATTATGTAGACACCAGAAGTCACATCTCCCGACGTCGGCCTCAACAGCGTCAACGGGTGAAGCAGATATTGATGATGTAAAGGCAGCAACAACGGTGAGGACAGTTGCAGAGGAGAAAACGCATTGTGAGTGAGGATATGAGATCAGATCAGATATATCTGAAGGGTTAGTAGGAAGATACCTGGCTTTTATATGCTGAACAATATTTTTTCGAACAGATAATATCTGCAATGCCACCAGACTGCCACGCAAAGTCTGTTGGCATATTGATGCAATCATCTCCAGACTTATCTCTTGCATAATTGAAACAACTCAAAAGGAAAAAACTCACGGCAAAGATTCTAACAAGCCGGCAAATTGGGCTCATTGTGACCGAGAACTGCTCCCCGAATCGCACCTCAGTGAACAGATGTCGGTCATATCGTTCATTTCTATCAAAGATCAACGGGGGGTGGGAAAGATCAGAAGCGCATCGACCTATGTTTGCCACATAATTGATGACATACATTGTTTTGAGCTCCTCTCCATCCTCGTAGAAGGCGCAAAGAAGTATATGCAGATTGTTTCAAAATCTGGTCTCGAGCGGCTCATCAGAAATTTGGATCGTGTTCTCGAAAGACTGAAGAGATGAAACCCAGAGCAGGGAGAGGGGGCCGCCGATGCTGTGAAGGACTTGAGGACTGTAGTCAGCGACAAGCTTGAGAGCTTTGGTCAATAACTATTTGTCCCCTGATATCACGGTGCTTGTGCTAGTGTCATGGAGCGAAGGAAGACACGGGGAAGTGCAAGTGCGGAAGCAGAAAGTATAAAAGCCGGGAAACTAGCAAATCCCTTTCAACCACTATGATCGATGCTAGAGATAAATGAGTGTTATGGTGATCCATGAGTTTGAAAGGCCGAATTATCGCATCCAACACTCGAATGAAAGACTGTTTTGACTAGAAGAAAGATTAGATCACGCGACTCAGAGTGTTAGAAATACAAAGCACGGCGACCTGAGTCAGTGTCCTTTCCGACAAAAGACCTATATCCCCAGCAACTCAACTGTCATTCTCCATTTTAGCAAGCTGGTCCACAAGCTGATCCATCACATCCGTCTTAACCTCGCCAACTTCAGCACGAACAGGCACAAGCGTCGCCGTAGGATCAAAACCCGGTGCAACACGCCTGAGTGCTTCCTTTCTCCGCCATTCATGCTCATCCTCTCTCGCACGAAGATATGCCTCCCTCCTCGCCGTATGCGCCGCAAGTGTCATGCGCCGAGAAGACTCGACTGTGAGTATGTGCGGTTCTAGTGTGTATGGATAGACGAACTGTGAGCTTGTCCGTGAGTGAGATTGTTTGAGAGTTGGAGGTACATACATATGGAGTAACGCTATCAGGGAGAGGGGTGGATGTCTGGTGGTAGATGCACCTGCGAGCAAGTCAGTATAGGTCGATGAGGAGGACAAGTTTCGTACGAGTGGAGGAACTCGAAGACCTGGTGACTTTATGAGCGGAACGTGCACTGCTGCTGCGTATTGCGATTCGGCTGCTTCAAATAAAACATCAGCCATTTAGAAAAATATACATAGAAACTACTCACATTGATCTGGCATATGGTGATGGTTTGAGAGAAATACTGAGAAATACCGTTTCGAGTCTGACATATCCAAATCAGGACACTTTCATATACTTACTTTTTCTTTTTTTTAAGTTGACGCAGCGAGGATGGACGTGAAAGTTTACACTGTCAACGGCGCAGTAGCAGGTTCATCATCGTCCATTCCTGATTGGCTTATCAGAAAACGAGCAGCGAAAGGAAAAGGAAAGCGGGTCTCAAAGGAGCATGTCCAAGGTGCTATCGAGCTCATTCAAGGATTCGAATTCCCCGAGGCCAGCAACAAAATAAAAACAACAAGAGACGGTCATCATGCCATAGCTACTGGCACTTACAAACCTCAAACAAGAGTTTGGGATCTAGACGATCTCAATCTAAAATTCGAGAGACATTCAGATGCAGAGAATGTTGATTTCATCGTCAGTCTCATATTCCTCATCCTCATGCAAGCTCACGACGTCTTGTGTTCAAGATTTTATCAGATGATTGGACAAAGATCATGCACTTGCAGAATGATCGTACTATCGAGCTGCACACTCAGGGAGGATTCCATTATAGGACTCGCATACCGCGCTTCGGTCGGTCACTGGCATATCACTTTCCATCATGCACCGCGCTCTTCTCAGCTTCAGGAAACGAAATATATCGACTCAACCTCGAACAAGGACGTTTTCTCAGTCCTTTAGTTCTTCAAGACGACAACGTCCAAGGCGTGAACTGTATTGACATCAACCCCGCGCATAACCTCCTCGCATTCGGTGTCGAAGGGAACGGGACAGTTCAATTCTGGGATCTTCGTTCTAGATCATCCGTCGGCGTGCTTCGGGTACCAACCAATCGACTATCAAGTCACACAGCGCGGAGTACCATGCCAGGTGTCGACGACACCGACGCACTCAGTATAGGCATTACAGCCCTCGCTTCCCGATCAGACGGCCTATCATACGTTGTAGGAACATCCACAGGACACACCCTCCTGTACGACATCCGATCCACCCGGCCCTTTGCACTAAAAGACCAAGGCTACGGCCTCCCAATACGCAATCTTACATGGATAGAAGGCAGTCGACTCGCAGGGGACGGTATGGTATTGAGCGCAGATAAAAAAGTCGTCAAGATATGGGATCGTAATTCCGTGAGCCCGTCTTACTTACTCGTGATAGTGCTGACGCTGATGACGACACTAACCCCGACGCACGACAGCCCTCATCCAACTTCGTATCCATAACACCCGCAAACGATCTCAACCACATCCATCACGTCCCAGGCAGTGGTCTCTTCCTAACCGCAAACGAAGGGATTCAAATGGGCACATATTACGTCCCTGCACTTGGTCCTGCGCCACGCTGGGCTAGTTTTCTGGAAAATGTTACGGAGGAGATGGAAGATTCCACGACAAGGAACGCGTATGAGGATTTCAAGTTTGTAGAGAGGAGTGAGCTGAAGACGTGCGTTGTCTTTTTGTGTTGTTTCTTTTCTTTGCTACCATATTCCTTCTTGATCCCGCGCTGCATACTTCATTCACCCCAATCTTTACCTCGCCCAAAACTTACAACTCACGCACCTCCTCACAGACTCGGCCCTCGACCACCTGGTAGGAACCCCCGCTCTCAAACCCTACATGCATGGCTACTTCCTCTCCCTCCACCTCTACGACACTGCACGCGTCATCGCTAACCCCTTCGCATATGCTGAGCATCGTGAGAAGCTCGTCAAGGAGCGGATGGAGAAGATGGCTGAGACGAGGATACGTACCAAGAAAGGTACTGGTGTTGGTACTGGAACTGGGGTTGGAGGCGAGGAAGTCAAGGTCAATAAAGCGTTGGCGGAGAGGATTGAGAAGGGGCTTGAGAAGGAGAGGAGGAAGGAGGAGAGGAAGAGGAGGAGGGGTACGAAGGGTGGGGAGGATGAAGAGGCTATGGACGTTGACATTGATGTCAGTGCTGACGAGGCAGAACAAACTCTAACTGAACTCGAAAAACCGACCCTCCTCAACGACCCTCGCTTCAAAGACCTATTCCTGAACCCTGAATTCGCAGTGGACGAAACGACGAGGGAGTATGCGCTTTTGCATCCTTCAGCTTCGGGTTCTAAGCAGAAGGTAAGAGGGAAGACTGCTGTTGAGGAAGAGGAAGAGGAGAGTGAGAGGGCTTCGTCTGCTGGGATTAGTGAAGATGAGAGCGAGAGCGAGGGTGGTGAGGGAGGCGATAGTGATGATAGTAGTGATGCTGGTGGTGAGTTTTTCGATTTCATTTCCACCCATCTTCCTTCCCAACGTCCTCTCACCCACTGTCGTTGACTTATAACTCACCATCGCATACTCACATAACCCCAGAACTCAATACATTCGACCCACGCGCGCGTCCAGGCCAAAAGAACGAAACGCGCACACCAAGCATACACGCGTACACGCCAAACACAACAGACAATCCAACGCCAACGTCAATTTCGTCCCTCTGGTTCCACACACTGAAGCTGGTACGAACGTGAGGAAGACGGGTGATAAGACTGCTACGTTTGGACAGCGGCGGAATGCACCTGCGCGTGGTTCCTCCCACACTATGACACCTTATGGCGCAGCGAATGGAGATAAAAGAGGGTTCGAGATGAGCTGGGTCCCTTCCACAAAAGACCCTTCAAGAGATCGGGGGAGCAGAAAAGACAAAAATGCGAGGAAGGGTGTGGAGGTGTTTGGAGCTGGTATGGAGCGTGGGGGTGGGGATGGGGAGAGAGCAGTTGTGTTGAGTGAGAGTGAACGGACAGGAAGGAGCCAGCGGAGGAAGGGCATGAGGAGTGGGAGTAAGAATGTGTTTAGGCAGTTAGGGTAGCATTTTCACTTTTGATTTTTGACTCGAGATGTTACCTGCTGTGCGCCAGAAATCACACATCCTCACATTACGCGCGTCAAGAGGTACAAAAAACGCCAGTGGGGACTGGTATCTCTATGCGGTGAAACAAAGCGACGATGCCATAGTTATTGGCAATGCGATACGGGATATGTGTACTATGTATGAGTACCGAGGTGTCCGACACGACAGGCATTCAAACGATCCTGGGCATCCTCTGCGGGATAACGATGATACTGTTGTTATGGTGCCAATAAAGAAAACAAAGAGTCTTTTCTCTAGTATGTCTTTTTCTTCTCGTCTACCGAGAGACCACCTATGTTGGCGTTAGTTGCGAACAAATAAAATAAGAAGTAAGATTAGCGTACCGGGTCCAATGTTCACGAGAAGGATGAGACCTCCAATGATAGCTGTAATTGATTAGTGTGTCAATGCTGTGTATGATGGCAAGAAATAGTGGCTTACAGAGCGTCTGGAAGAAATCGTACCTAGGAAAGCGCATCAACACAATGCCCAAAAATAGAACCCACACACGTACTTGAGGAAATCACGTTGAGGGTGAGCACTGTGCACGCTCCACCAGTCATTCGCAAAGACGTTGAAGACACTGAGTAAGATGACGAGGAAGATCGCAGACCATTTTGCTTTGAAGCCGATAGCTACCATCGTGCATGCTGAGAGACCGAAGACGGACATGAATATACGGCCCATGCCCCATTCTCCTTGGAAAATGAAGCCGAGGAAGAGGAAGATGAGGAGGACGCGGCCCGCGAGGAGAAAGCTACAATGGTGGGTGAATAAATGAGTGAGTTGCGGTGGAGAAGAATACACACTATTTCTTGCGGTCTGTTTCACTCATAGACGGGATACCAGCAAAGCTTTTCTTTTCGTTGACCACGGTTTCGCTAAACACCATGATGAGACCGCCTATGACGCTCAAGTTGCGAAGGAAGAAAGTGAGGTCGAACATGAGGCCATATCCGAAGCCTTGGATGATGACCACGCTGAGGAGACCGATGACTGCGTATTCTGTGTACCTTTTTCATGATGACGGCTGAGGAAGCGACAAGCATTGTCTAGGACGAGTGAATTAGATCCAAGAATTGCGAGACTTCGAATGAGGGCTTACGAGGACGTTGAGCAGTAGGAAGAGGTGGGAGATTCCCTTGTAGAAATGTCTATGCCTGTGACCAATGAAATTTAAACAAACGTCTTCCTGCTATGAATGGCTGTAACTGACGTTTGGAGGTACCAAAGCTGGTCATTCCATTGTGTCATAATTCTCAAAGCATCCTCATAGAACGTGACTATGATCAAGAACCGGCCAATAGTAGGCAAATGAGGTCTCAAAGGCTGAGAATATATCTCGATTGTGTCTTCGACCTGTTTAGCAACTGCTCGAATCCTCTCGAGAGGATGGTCTGGGTTAGCTGCCCTGTAACCTGTAGAAGGGCGTGAGTTTGCGAATCCATGAGGGTCTGGACTGTGATAGCTTGTTGAAGCTGGACGACCAATATTGATACGGGAGGTCATGGTGAACGATGAAGGAGGAGTCAAGCTTTGCCAGCATTCAACTTGTAACACCGACGTGGCGATTCACGTCTCGTGGGAATTTGGTTACCCGAAAGCCGGTTAAGCTTTTTTTGCATTATACTATAGCCTATAGGGGGGAACCGAGAATTCACCTTTTCGTCGTTGAAACTCGTGCACGTTGCGTTGGTCATCGTCAACGTTGGAACCACGCGCAATTTTTTTGACCAGCATGAACAAATCACGCGTAGACTCGGTGCGAAATGAATACTTCTAGTACGTCGTTCGCATAGCCTTCAGAGTCGCTACTGACCGTATAAAAAAAGTTCAGTGTTAAACGTGCCAACAACCGCTTCCGCAAACGAAATACGGGAACGCTACAGAGCATTGTCCGTAATCTTTCACCCCGACAAGCAACGCGAGGAACGGACAAAGGACACTGCAGCTGTGGAATTCCTTGAAATTCAAAAGGCCTACGAGGGTGAGAGTCTTTAGTCCAGTTCCAACGCAATATGTGGTAACGTTTTAAAGTTTTGTCGGACCCCTTTCTTCGGTGAGTTCGTGTTGCTACGCACCGTTCTTTACATGCGGTCTCACTTTAATAGGGAAGTATATGATTTTCTGGGTAAGCACATCCGCATTCCACCCTCAAGGCATTCTTCATACAAACATATGTTTTGCTAGGTGAAGATGCTTTAAGAAACCCGTGGCCAACAGAGCTGCGGTCTCAGAGTGTTGAACAAGTGCGGCATTTTCGCCCAGCATGCAACTGACTCACTCCTCTTGACAGATACGTGCGCATCTTCGACGTTGGAGGATCGATCGTAGTCAAGAAGTCTTTGATCACCTCATTCGGCCAAGAGGCACGGTGACATGTGGAATTGACACATCGACGTTATTCGCACGCGGTGATGACTTAGATTATGATTCGAGAGGCATCCTTGCCCGTTTCCGTGGAGTTTGGGTCTCTCAATTTGCTATTCGTCACTCTGTTACGGTGGGCTCCATACCTTTTCGTGCCCACCTGATTTGACGTTCATGTCCGCTTCAATTTGTGTAGAAAGTGTTGAATGAAAAGACTAACCTTAAATTCACGAGTCACCTGGGACTAGGCCCTCGAAATGACTTGCTGAGTAGAAATAACCTCATGGGCACGATACGCCATCAATTCTCTCCTAGGCTCGCTTTGGAGGTACGTCTTATTATTAGATCAAATTTATTACTCAAGGAATGATCGTCGTCTGAAAAGGCTACAGCACATTTCTTAGACCCTCACCTCGTTGTCGCAAAAGCGAGCTATGAAGACAACGACAATACCCTAAATTGCCGTGTGCATTTCATTCCTGCGTTCTGGAACCTTCCCCCTCCGGCTAGTACCGTTTCCTTCAGTCGTCGGCTCTTCCGACATGCTTCAACAGTGGGCTCTGTGGCGTGGACATTCTCACCATTGTCCATGGGAAGCTTTGAATTTGATATACACTCCCCTCAGCCTTTCGACTTCTCGTCTCCCGAAAATTACGTTCACCATACGGACCGTATGAACGCCGATTTCACAAATAAGCCTGGCTCCGTCAGTGGTTTTGGGGTTGGACTGCGGGCTTGGTCATGTGGGTTTCAGCTATCTGGCTTCAACTCGTGTATCAAGACCGAATGGTCTATCTGGTTTTTTGAACTATCACTGAGGTTCAAGGCAGGCCTAGAGATCGGATTTCGGCAGATGGCTTATTTGGTCACCGCAACATGGACTAATACAAATGCTGCCATATCAACTAGCTTTGGTGTTAGCACTAAGGGATTAATCATGCGCTTTGAGTGCGCCACTTTGTCCTCAAATATTCTCCTGACTCATGCGTTTATATCAGGTTGGAATATCTTCATCAGAAATGGATATTGCCAATAACTTTGTCGACCGTAAGAAATCAAACATTGGAATTCTTTTCGGCTGTTTTGCCTTCAACAGTTCTCCTCCTCGGATATCACTTTGTTTTGAAGCCTCGTAGGCAGTTGCAACGGACATTGTCAGTCTTATCTCCAACTTTCTTCGACTGTCAGATTAACATTTTCGTCTTGTTAATTAAAAAGATATTTCCGCAAGGCTGAGCGCCTTCTTAAAGAGGAAAATTCGCAGCTAAAGAGGCGGATTGATGACACCGTGGGGTTGTTGAGCGAAACTGCTAAACGCCACATGCAGACGGAGAGGTCCAGAGGAGGTACGACATCCCCACATATCCGGGCACGTGGTTCTCACGTAGCGTCAAGGTCTTGTCATCCTGAGTGCGATGTACGGGCCCGAAATGGACGCCAAGAACCTTACGATAGATGTGACTGTGCCTGTGCAAGCCTTGGTGCACAACAGCCAGGTTCATGTCCCCGGTCATCGCACAAAGGTAGTCACGCTCATATCTTCTCCTCGAGCTTTAGTTCACGTGGCATGTCGCAGGCCGGTATTCAAGGTTTCTACGACCCCGCCCCTGCATCGCCTAAATCACTTCGCGTACGTTATCTTTTTCGTGATCGACACCACTACGCAGAGATTCCCGACTATGTCCCCGTTGTGTTGCCTTTACCAGGTGTGTTCATTGTACTCGTTTGGGCATTTTCGTGCCTGACGATGTTTTTTCTTGTCAAGATCACCTGGTGAATTAAACAGCTACCGTCACCACCCAGTCTGTTACAAACCTACTGTCGTTCCCACTCAGCATCTTACATTCTTATACCCATATCTAATGTTGAGATTTGAAATATGACCTTCATCAAATGCGTATCAACCTTTTACCACTACAGCCAACCGGGAGATAGCGAAATTAACAACAACTTAGGCGCGGACTCATGCCGCGTTATCATATCCGACGGGATGGACGTGCCGTATCCAGTATACTTCACAAAAACGAGCCTACGGGCCTACGGGTCTAGGTGTCCATAGGGGTGTCCTCACCGTGCTTATGCTCCTTTGGCTTCGCTCGCTCAGAGTCGTGTCATTGTTTGTGACGATCCAAATTCCCAGACTGCAGGCTGTAACAACTATCAAATGCGAACACGAACGGAAAAATCCGCTGGGCATGAGCGAATTGATGACTGTGCTGCACTCGGCCCCCCTTAACTCACCTTCGCTCATTGATATATAACGAAATTATTCCGCTTGCCTGACTGCACACACATTTCCGCAACATAATGCGGGAAGCTTGGCCTATCGCGGAATTCAACATTTCAAGCGCCGATCTGTTGTTACTCACTTCCACGCAGTTCAAACCGACATTGCGAAACCTTAAGTCTACGTGTAACAAACGATGGATTGGGTCCAGCTCACCTCCCCTGTAATATGCTTGTGGTGCCAGCATTATTGCGTTGCTGAGGACCAAACCTTCGCGGTACCAGTACACAACGAGCTACTCTATATCCCCCTGGAATCGACACATCCATTTGTTCATATTCGATAATCAAGTCATTTGCCAAGCCGGGGTTGCAATGGGCCGGGGTGTTTGTCCGCACGGAATCAGCCGTGTCTAGAATAAGCTTACCCTGCAGACTTTCCCAAGCAACTGTTCAATTTTCGGGTGATCTTCACACTCGGCGCCTCAGTTTCAGTTTCTGGTTGCCTGGTATTCATTATGATTCGACCCTTCGGCACAATTCATTAACCGTTTGCAGTGCTTTCCTTGTTTGCCAAACTTTGTTTGTAATAATTTGACGGAAACAGTGGAAATCGGCGTTCGACACGCCTGAAAGGTTCTGTGCCGCTATTGAAACGCACATATCATATAGACGCCTGCCACCACACCATGACAACTGGTGGAGCGCGTCGGCCATTGCCATCTGAAAACCTTTTTTCTCTATGCCTTCTAAGTTCTGGAACTTCATCAGGACGTACTGATCATTTATAACTTCGAAGGTGAGAAGTGTTCTCCTTCACCGACAATGTCCACCGAATCACGTAGACCCCCTGCTGACAACACGAAAAGGGAAATTTGGCCTCAACGCAATGGGCGCACACGTTAAAACTGTATGTTGACAAAAAGCCCGCCGATCATCATTGTCAGCCCCTACTAGTAGAGATACGATTCCAGATTGAGCTGGGCCAGCTCAAACGTGGCCGGACCAACATTCAGCATGACGAAGTGAACTTGTCATAACGATTGAATTAGGCTTTATCCGAGTTCCTCCCAGAGTCAGCATGGAGTTGCGCTCACGTTTAAATCTAAACAACCGCTCGTCGGCCCCTAGTGATATGAGATCCATGGACGGTGATCACTTGCATGGCTTTTGAATTAGGCTTTTCAAATGCGCACCGGCGATATTGTATTGCTTAGCAATAACTCGGATAAGTCCTTCGCATCGCTATGTCATCGGGTTGAATGATCATAACATACCGTCATGATGAGCACCGTATTGTTCAGTTGCTCCAGTCCCTGAAATCAAACCTTGTTAGGATTTTGTAACACTAACGCCTGCTAACGCGTGACCAATCCCAGGCCCCCCTGGCGAATGTGCGCCGTCTCGCCATCAACAAGCTATGCACAATGAATCAAGGATGTCACTTACATCATGGCCCAAGCGCCGTGTTTTGATGTAAAGTGACTGCTACGGTACTTGAGCATAAAGGTTTTGCAAGGGCCCGTCTGGAGCGGTTGTTGTCAATCAGGATAAATATGATGAATTAATTCAACCCTGTAGTCAACCTGTTGTGTAAGTTGGCTTCTGTGTTCACTAGCAACTTGGTCGGTATTTTGCGCTCGCACCGGAATTACTATATTGGGAGACGTACTACTTGTAATCTTTATACCCACGTTCTTCGCACTTTATGCTGCGTTATCATTATGGATTTGGCTAGTGGAGTAGCTAGCGGCGTCCTGCGGTCCCCACGTCTCGGAAATACTCTCAAGTCGAATCTGATGAGTCCGATCACAGGGCGCTTTTTCAAAATTCGGCATGTGGGTTAACTCAATTCAAACTTAGAATAATTTTAATTTTATCCGCGGCTCACAGTTCCCTTACGAATACAGAAA